AAAAAAAAAAAAAGAAAGACTAGAAGCTGACATTCCAGAAAAGAAGCAGTTAAAATTGTCCATACTAGTACATAAATCCTAATGATATAATTGACAATGTGAAATAGGAAGAAAAGGGCTAAAAGTGTAGGGAAAGTGGGAAGGGCAGGGAAAGGTAATAAGGGTAAGGAAAAAAGTAGGAGAAAATGAAAAAATGGAAATAAATAAAATGTTTGTAAATGGGGAGGGTAGGAAGGGCTGAAGGGAGAGCAGGGGTATGGGGAGAAAATGAGAACCAAGACCTGTCATGTAAAGGTACAAGATCCCAATGATGAATGTAACTGTACTGTATTCCTAAAATGTACGAATAAACTAAAAAAAAAAAAAAATTGTCCAGACCTATGTATGATTTGTTCCTGGATTGTGAGGATAGCCTTGCAAATGGAAAATAAAATGAATGTTAAGTGATATTTGGTAAAGAGACTGGACAAGATTTAGTGATGAAAGAAGAAGGAAGTTCTCAAGGCATTTGCCAGTGTGAGTGGATCTGAGATTGACTCCTCAGTGTAGAGAAGAAATTTGTAAACAGCTTCATTCCCTTCCCTTCCTGCAGCCTAGTGATCTGTTTGATGGTGGAGTCATTCAGGAAGTTAACTAATGCTTTGAAGTCCTTATGTTTGAGAACTTTCTATGAAAAAAGTTACTAATTTTCAAACAGTAAAGTTAACATTCAGAGAATATTTGATGCAAAATTAGCAAAAGAGCCATTTTGGGAAATCATACCGATGGCAAATATATTGTTCAGAGATTCTGACAGTTCATAAAGCATCTTCTCTTCCAATTCAGTAATTCTGTGATATCTGCATATAAAGTGATACTTAAAATATTTGAAATTTATGGTGTTTTAGGAAACTATTTTGAGCTACTTCTTTTGCAAGACAAAGTAGAATGTCCCAGGTTTGTCAACAAGTAGGACTCATGTTTGAGTTATGGAAAGGGATGATATTCAACATGTAGATCTTATCCAGTCTAGACGTGCCTAGAGTAAAACCTAGGTCAGATTGTACCCTGGCGTTCTGTGTTGGATCGAACCCAAGGTGCCCAAGAGAGCCAACTTTCCTCCTCAGAAGAGGGGTTGCAATGGGATGGGATAAGAGCATCTCAGACTTCAGATTTATAGACTTAGCTTTAAATCCTATGAGAAATTTAGTTAACTTTTATATTTTATTCTACTTCTACATAAAAGGGGGAATAGTAATTATCTCGTAGAGAAATGGTGAGGGGTAAGTAAGATATAAAATAACCAGTTGCGTGCACCCTGTGCGTGTATCCATTGATGAGTGAGTGCTGTGTGGTGATCTCTTAAATCAAACTCCCTATTCACCAGCCTTGCTTTCCTCCTGGAGATTGCGTGGAACAGAAAATTCCCAGAAGTGGTTCTTTGAGGGATGTGATGGAATTGGGAATGGTAATTAACTGGTGTGCTGATAAATACCACAAGACATTCAAAAACATTTTTAAGAGGGTTCCATGTAAAGTATGGTAGTTATAAAGGTGAAGTGATGGATGGGACCAGAACAGAAATTGTCCTGGAAAGAAAAGTTGTCAGGGCCGGGGATTTAGCTCAGTACTTCCGGCACCTGCCTGGCAAGCCCAAGGACCAGAGTTTGATCCCCGGTACCCCCCTAAATAAATAAATAAATAAATAGATGGATAAATAAATATTTAAAAAGAAAGAAATGTTCTCAGTGCATAGGTGGTAATATCAAGAGTCAGAATGAAGTAAATCTAAATAGTAAAGCACTGTTTTTGCAAATTATAACTAATACCTCTTTTCCTTTACACCAGTGAAAAGAAGCTCATTACTGATGCCCTTAATAAAAACCAGTTTCTGAAGAGACTGGACCCTCAGCAGATCAAAGACATGGTGGAGTGTATGTATGGGAGAAGCTATCAGCAAGGCAGCTATATCATTAAGCAAGGAGAGCCAGGAAACCATATTTTCGTGCTGGCTGGTAGGTTTCACAGATTTTCCAGTTATCATATGTACTGGTCTTAGAATTTTTTAAAGCATTTATAAAACTCAAAACTGCCTGCTCTGTAAAAAATATAACAGATCAAAGTCATGAAATGGCAATATTGATGATCTAATTATAATAATGATACTATTTACTGTTTTTTATATATCAGGAATCCGACTGGGCACTTAGTAGACAGATCTCACTTTATTTTTTTCATCAGTTCTGTAAGGCAAGGGCTCTTATCACTATGGAGACTGACCCGGAAAAGTTGAATCAGGTATCCAAAGTGACACGGTTTAAGTGGGGGAAGTAAAATGCAAACTTGGCAATCTGACTTAAGAATCCGTACTTTTAATCACAGTGCCACTCACTTCCAAAAGAAAACTGTTTCAGTGCCAGTTATTTAGCTCAGTGGTTCTGCTTCCTTCCTTGCAAGTGCAAGGTCCTGAGTTCGATCCCTGGTACAAAAAAAAAAAAATGATGGCGAAAATAACACTTTCTGTTCAAAATCCAGCTATTAATGTTTATATATATATATAGGATTCAAAGAATGATTTAGGTACATGTAACCAGTTGACAAATTAATAGAATGCTTTACAAGTAACACCAGGAATTTTAGAACCATTGAAATGGTTTCCTTTTCCTGTTATTACTTGAACATGTTTATATGCTGGGAAGAGTATGACAGATAAGCAAAGGATTTACTTCTAAACTGCACAGCTCTTATAATATATATATAGGATTCAAAGAATGATTTAGGTACATGTAACCAGTTGACAAATTAATAGAATGCTTTACAAGTAACACCAGGAATTTTAGAACCATTGAAATGGTTTCCTTTTCCTGTTATTACTTGAACATGTTTATATGCTGGGAAGAGTATGACAGATAAGCAAAGGATTTACTTCTAAACTGCACAGCTCTTATAATAGCTACTCATTTTTTTTCTTTAGTTATAGAAGCAAGAAATTATCTAAACAGGGTTAGGGTTGTTAAGTGCTTCATCAAATTCTGAATGGTCTTAGAGAACAAAGTTAAACTGGTTTGCCCAGATGTTGTGGTACCCTGAGATGTACTGTGATCTACTTTACATTATAGTTTCTGATAATCTAAGCAATATTTTCATTCTTATTTCCTTGGGCTTTAGGTATGGGGCAGAAACTGCCTATCCAAACAAATTAATATGCATGTGCAGTTCAATTTGTACGGTGAAAATATTATTTTCATAGACTGATTCTTAAACCATGTCTGTTATATAATTATTTGTTGTTTTCCATATAATCTTTATAGGCAACTTTAAAATTAAATGGTCATTCCCAAGTAATTATTCTACTCAAGTAGTGGATTACAGTTTTAACTTAGCTGGTCTTCAATTTTATAATCTTGCAAATTTTCTCTCAGTCATTTCCTATCTATTTAGCTGGGCTAGAACATTCTGGCAAGAGAAATAGGTCATTAAGTCCACAGATATTTGTGGAACCTGCTAGGAAAGGGTGAGACACTTGTTGTCTGCCCATCGTGTTCCTTGCCAGTGGCTCTGATGAAAGGCATGGGGAGAGAAAAGGTTGAACAGACATCAGCATCAATGCAGCTATTGAGATCAGGGCAGTGGCACATGTGGAAAGGAAAATTGGATGGTTTCTTATAGGAATTAATTAGAGCGTCATCTAAGGACAGACTCGCCTGGTTTAATTATCTGGCTGAGGAAATTAATTTGATAATTAAAAATCTCCCCTTTATAAAATACAGCATGAATAGAAAACAACACAAGCATATTTAGTCTAAACTTTATATTCCATATAATTCGTCAGCATCAAGTCCCATGAGCCATAACCAATTAGAAAAAAAAAAATCCTTGGAAAGCATCAAGGTCCATGATATGAACTGGACAGTACCACCAAGTGACTTTGAGGGACAGAATTTGCTACAATGAGAAAATTGTATATCTAATCTGTTATTTTTCCTTACCAGAATATAAATTCCACCAGAATAAATATTTTTTCTCTGCTGTGTACTGTTGTTCTGGCACCTGGAACAGATCCTGGTGTGATGACAGATTTGTTGAATGAATGGATAGACAGAGATGCCCCAGCTACTTAATGGTGAATTAGGGGGAAGAAAAGCTAATTCTTTCCAAGAAAAGGGTTTTACCCAAACATTTTTCTTCCTTGAAGAATCTAAATATTTTTGCATATCATTTGGGTAGGATAAGATTTTGTTTGAAAGGAGTAAAAAGGAGAGTTGCCAAGGCAAAAGAATTGTGAGAAGGTTGCCTGAGGCTCTCCTCTGCTTTCCTTTAGTCTTTCCCTATGTATAGGCAAGTGTCAGTCACTCTGATGGGTGTTAGTTACATTTTAAGGAATGAGAGGTCAGGTAACAGTTGAGGACCATGAAAATAACTTCCCCAAGGTCGTGCAGCCCATAGCTAATTTTCAGGACGTGCTATGACTGCTGCATTTTTCAAGACATACTGTGCTTGCTGGGCTCCTAGTAGAGAGGGAGTAGCTTCAAGTATTATATTTTTCATAGGATAGAATGAACTTTAAACAAAATAACTTGCGATCCACCACTTATGGGGAAGAGCTTTGCTGCAATGATAGTAATATTAACCAGAGCTAATGCTTACACAGCATCAACTACATCCTTCCCATTGTGTTATGTTCTCTGCCTATATTAACTTATTTGATTATCATGGCAAATGCATGAAGTAAATATTATTATCCCCATTATCAAGGAAATTCAGGCAGAGAGGGTAACCTTCTCAAGGTGAGTAAATGGCAAAGCTGGTTTGGGGTGGTAATTTTAGCCACAATATTATAAGAAGAATCACACAATATCTTACCTGTATGATTTGTATATTTCTGTTTTTATTTTAATTTGTGGAATCCAGGTAGATTTTGACTATTTGTGTTTTTCTTAAATTTTACTTGATAGAGGGTCAACTAGAGGTATTCCAAGGAGAGAAGTTTCTGTCATCCATCCCTATGTGGACCACATTTGGGGAACTAGCCATTTTATACAACTGTACAAGGACCGCCTCTGTGAAAGGTAACAGGAGATGAAAGGTTCTGTCTTTGAATTGTTATGCAATGTTAAGGTCATCTTATATCAGGTTTGCATCCTAATCCAGAGTTTCTCTTTCCTATTTTGTACCATGTGCTCATTTTAATAGAAATACTATAGGACTATTTTTTCTAAAATGGAGTACTATTCAGCCATGAAGAGTGAAAGACTAGAGACATTTATAGCTAAATGGATACACATTGAGGCCATACTCTTAAGTGAAATAAATAGGGCACATGTGCAAATATCAAATGGTTTCTCTTGTGTGAGAAACTAAAAGTATAAATAAGGATCAAAATGTCTAATAGTATGAAATAGGAAGAAAAGGTTTAAAGGGGAACTGGTAGGGGAATGGAAAAAATATGAGAAAAGGAAAAAATGGAAATAAAATCTTTGTAAATAGGGAAGGGTGGAGGAGTTGAAGGGAGGGCAGGGGAATGGGGAAAAATAAGAACCAAGATATATCATGTAAAGGTACAAATTCCCAATGATGAATGTCATTGTATTTTGTACCTAAAATGTACCAATATACTTAATGAATAAAAATAAATAAATAAATGAAATACTATGCCATAAGAGGACTTATATGAAATTATTTATCTAAATAATTCAAGTAAAAAACAACTCATCTCAGATACCAATCTGTACACCCTGAAAATGGCTATAAACGGAATGATCCCCTATTTCTCTAACCACCACTGTACTTTCTATTATATGGACGTTTGTCTTGGCTCATAGAAAGTTTGCTTTCTAGTTTTTATGAAGTTCTGACCATGTTATAAACAAGAACATTTAAAAATGAAATAAAGCCAATGAAAATGTATGACTATCATACAAAAGGGATATAAATCATAGCAATGAGCATTTTAATGAATGGCTTTAGGATTAGCTTAATTGTTTCTTCTAGAAATTCCAGTTCTTATTGATTTTGTTGATGGCAATCTTAGATTTTCTTCAGAATAATTTAGATGTGTTATCGCTCAGTATTTGAAACTGTGTCACACGTATTAACATCACTAAGGTAGTTGCTAAAAATGCAGATCTTTCCTCCCCTCTGCACCTGAAGAATATTCTGACCATGAAGCCCTAGAGTCCTTATTTTTAACAAGAATATTCAGAAGATTCTAATTTACTCTAAAGTTTGCTAAATCAGAGCTTTGAGTTTTGATCTATTTTCTGAGCTCTGATTACATTTTTTTAAAAGTCTCACAACCACAATTTGATTTCAGTTTGTTTTTCTAAGAGTTGCCACTTCTATTCCATTTCCTTTTTGGATTGTATCCCTGCTTTCAGGGCCTTTCTTACACATTTTTTTGTCCCTAAAACTTTCTCTGGTAATTTAAAAATTACTTGTATGCATTTATACTATAGTAATCCTAGAGATCCTTAAAATATATTAGATCTCTTTTGCAGCAATGTCTAAACAACATAAAAAGACACACAAAAAGCACAAACACACACACACACACACACACACACAGAGAGAGAGAGAGAGAGAGAGAGAGAGAGAGAGAGAGATCTAACTTCCAGTTACTTGCTTAGAATTCTTCACTCACTGATTAGCCACGGGTTGGCTGACCGCTAACCTTACAGCAAGAATCTGAAATTCATCTCGATGATGTTGTGTATAATCAGGAATTGCAAACTCATTTGAACATCATCCTAAATAAAATATAATTAGAAAGGAAATCTTCTGCTACCCACTTCCAAATCATAGTATATTTCAAAGCCAAAGTAATTTATAAAATTGGGCACTATTTATTTTGCTGCTTCGTTTTTCCATTTGCATGTTTAAGTAATGTGTTTTCCAAGAAATGCAAGTTGATTGTCTTATTTGATTTTCTCATTGGTGAGAAAAAATATTAGACCCCCAAAGTTAAAGGGGCAAAGTTTATTTGACTTACACTTTGTAGGGGTTTCAGTTCACAGTTAGCTGTCTCCAAGGCAGGGGCTGCATGGCAGAGGGGAATTACAGAGGAGAAACAGTTCGGCAGGCAGAAGCCACCAAAGCAGCAAAGTAGAAAGCCATGAGCTCACTTTCTGTTCCTTCTATCTTATCCAGGCTACCCACATGCAGGGTGGTAGCACTCAGCATGGGACAATCTTAACCCTAGCATCACCCCATGAATCCACCCCAGCATCACATCCTTGATCCCAGCAACATACACTCAAGATCCAGCCTTCTCCAAAAAGGCCCCTGAGGCTTTGTAGGGACATCTAAATACAAGCCATAACACTGATTAACATTCTTGAGTGCTGTTTTAATGTGGTGTGAAGCAATGTTTTATTATTTTCTTGATTTTTCTAAAGCTGTTACCAATGTTAAAACGTGGGCACTAGATCGAGAGGTTTTCCAGAACATCATGAGGAGGACAGCCCAAGCTAGAGATGAACAGTACAGAAACTTCCTCCGAAGGTAAGGATAATACAGTGGGTGAAGAGCACAGCTGATGATATAGCCATAGGTGCATAAATTGGTTTTATTGATATAGTAATTTCTTACAGATTCTCTAATTCAAGCATTTTTAACATTATTAAACCAAGGGACCAAAGTGCTCTCTTGTGGTAAATGACATTGCAAGAGAATATGGAAAAAATTTTATTTACTTCTCATATATTTAATTATTTTTATGTAATTATATTTAATTACTAATAACTTTGTGTACTGGTTTATTTTTTTCTCATTAAGTTTTGCTATTTTCTCATTGCCGAGACAAACTACCCAACACCCAAAATGAAAGGAGGAAAGGCTTATTTGGCTCACAGTTTGTAGAGGTTTTAGTTCACAGTCAGCTGATTCCGGGGCAGGGTGGCATAGCAGAAGGGCATCACAGAGGAGAAACAGTCTATTGCCAAGCAAGACAGGCAGAAGGCAGTAAGCAGTGAACAAGCGACAAACCGTCACACTTGCCCTCTTTCTGTCCCTTATATTTTATCCAGGCTACACACCCTTAGGGTTAGTAGCACTCACACCCAGTGTGGGACACCCTTACTCCTACCCAGAATTATGCCAAATCAACCAGTGGTCTAATTTAGTAATCACACATCATTAATCCCAGCATAACAGACTCTAGATCCAGCCACCTCTGAAAACCCCCCACCAGTGACTGCAGGAGGCTTTGGGGGGACATCTAGATAGATGCCATAACATGGTAGTGTATAGAACAGAAAAATGTGCAAAAAATCCCCAAAATTTCACCTGGATTGCTCACTTGTCATTGAAAGACGTCTGGAATTTGAAAAGAGGATAGCAACCAGATAACCCTTTTAGTAATGCTTTTCTTTCAATAATATTAGAATCCATTTATTTTATTATCCTTATTTTACCTGAGGTATTCCTTTTCTCATTTGCAAAGCCACACTATCTTCCAACTTACCGTTATTTATAGCAAGTTAACTTTTCAAAAATGTTGCTATACTTATGGTTACATGTGTCTTTGGAACATACTCATTTTATGGAGTGTTCTGTACTTAACTGACTACAGCAATTTATATAGAAACAAATGTCTGTGAAATTTAAAAAGAAAGCTCCAAATTAAAGAAAAAATTTGAGTGTAAGTTAATTACTCAAACTATTTTTGTATCATTGGTGAGAGTTTTGACAATCTCGGGATCTGAACTATAATGAAACCGTAACACCTGAGATGTTCTACTGAATAATAATGTGTTCTTTCACTGTTTAGTCCAAAAATAGAGTATAAACTCTTCTGAAGTCTCATATTTTCTGTTTTAAATGGAAGGAGTTTAGGTGATCTACTAGTAGCTACTCCTTCCTTCTTTCCTTTTGTTATTTTATTAGTTCATTCAATGTGATTTATTGACAGGTCTAAAAATCATGAATTCAGTGAAGAACAGTGTAAATCTGATCCCTGTCTTCCTAGAGGGGATGTAGACTAAGATTTCTCCTAATACTGGTTTCCCTACAACTTCTATAAGGTGAAAAATTTACTACTAATAATAGACATAACAGTAATAATAGTAATAACTAATAGACGTAAGTTTGGACCAGCAGTAAACTTTCTAAGAAGTTTGTGTTAATCAGTGATAAGTTCTGGTTACTTTTTTACCATTTCAACAACAGAGAAATGCATTTTTTTGTTTATAATATACAGTAAACATTTTTCCATTTACACTTTTCATTACATATGAAATATATAAATATATGATATATATATATATATATACTATGTATGTAGGTTATGAAAGATCATAACACCAGTAGTCTCACTGCTAGGTATGTAGGCAAAGGAGATGACATCACTGTGTTAAAGAGGAGTCCATCTTCCTATGTTCCTTGCAGCACTATTTAAAACAGTCAGGAAATGGGCCCAGGATTTAGCTTAGTGGCATCACACCAGCCTTGTAAGTGAAAGGTCCTGAGTTCAATCCCTGGTATCACACAGACACACACACACACACACACACACACAAAAAAAAAAAAAAAAAAAGAAAAAAAAAAAAAAAAAAAAAAAAAAAGAAAGAAAAGAAAAGGAAATGGATACAATTTAAGTGTCCATCCAATAATGAATGGATTAAAAAATGTAGTACACGCAAAGAGTGGAATACCATTCAGACATAAAAAAAGTCAGATTCTGCCATTTGTTATAATATAATGGCTAGAAATGAAGATCACTATGTTAAGTGAAATAGACCAAGCGCAGAAAGACAAATACTGCATTATCTCATTCCTACATGGAATCTAAGAAAGTTTGTCTCATAGATGTTTAGAGTAGAGTGGTGGTTACCAAAGGCTTGGGAGAGTAGGAGAAGGGAAGAATGGAGAAAGGTTCATTAAAGTTATACGGCGAACAGAGCCCAAAATTCTTATGTGCAGATTGGGTGACTACACACAATGGCAATGTAATGTACATTTCAGTTAACCAGAGAAAATAATTTTGAATATTTTTATCATACAGAAATAATAAATATTTGAGGAGATAAATGTTCACCCTCATTTAATCTTTGCTCAATGTCTACATGTATAGAAACATTCTGTGGCACCCCATAGATGTGTACAATTTTTATTTATTAGTTAAAAATAATTCTAAGTGAAAAATCCTAACAAAATGAGTATCTGTGAAGCTGCTGCTGAACCTAAAGAATAGCAAGTTAGCAGCGTTGTCGACATTCTCATGGTCCCCACAGCGCACTTTCAGCGTCCTGCTGCCCCTCTCCGTGGAAGCAGCCTGTACCAAGTTTGATGACCATTCCTTTGGTGCTATTTAAAATTTTGCCTATAGCTTGATTTAGCCTATTTGCAACCTTCATCAAAATGATGTTATTTTTTCCACTGAATTTTTGACTTGGTATTTAAGATTCATTTCTCCTGCAATAGAGCATTGTTACCTGACTGTTGCTGTGTATTTATCTTTGTCCCACTGGGGCTTGTCCCAGGGCTTGCAGTTACAACTGATTCTGGTGCAAAGATTCTTATATGTGTCTCTTGTCCTTGTGGCCTCCTGGTACCTGTGCAAGACAGCTCTAGACCGAGCTCCCTGCATTTACAAAACCAGAACTAAACACGCAGTTTTGAAGTAGAATTACTCTTTCCATATGAGTGTTACTTATAGAAATTGGACCAATAGTCCTGAATAAAAATGGCTACAGCAGAAGAGAAGTTTTTTTAAGAGAACGACTTAATAATATCGATTGATTAATCATACTGAAATTTCTAATTCTTTACAATAATAGAGCTCAGTATTCTGTTTCACTCTCTGCACATTATTATCTGTAAATATTATTTGTAAAAAAATATTATTTGTAAAATGCCTCTGGCTCCCATTGATTTCAAAAGACAGTATGCTCTGACTAATAATCCAAGATTCCCACTTCCCTCTGTGTTCGGTCATTACCTAATTACAAGGATTGAGATAAAACTCTGATCCTCCACTGGAAGCAGAGCTGCTCACCTGGGCTAAGAGAGGAGATATCGAAACATGGACAGGAACACATTTCCAGATGTGGTTCGCTTTGAAAACCAAGAAATCTAAAATTATTTTTCCTTCAAATAGAATGTGATTTCCCCTTCCTAATAGGGTATCATTTGCATTTATTTGCCTATGATAAAGGTTGAATTTTCCAGTTTGTACCAAATGCAATTACTTATGTGTTTTCATTTATTTAAAGGTTTACTTTTTTAAATTTGGATTTTTGTTAGTTTAATCTGTTTGCAGTACATCGTGATTACCTTCCTTGTGGGGAGATGTAAATAATATATCTTCATTTTATGTTCCCTTCACCTCTATTACTTCTCCCTACTGATCCCCTTCTCATTTGCAAAAGAAGATTGACTCTGGAGAAATTAAAGTGCACTGTAATTTTTAAATGAGCTTAAGAATTTTAGAACCTACACCTACCCGTGTGTATTTATATTTTAATTCAGCAAGATAATTCAGATTTCTTTTTAATTTTGAAGTGTATCCTTGCTGAAGAATTTACCTGAAGATAAACTAACCAAGATCATTGACTGCTTGGAAGTGGTAAGAGATTTTTTAAGTAAAAAGTAAATTTCATTAGAAGATTTCAGAATCTAGTTGCCACATTAGCACTGTAAATGAATAAAAAGGAAAAGATTGTGGATCACCATTCTACACATACCAGGAGGCCCTTTCTGTTGTGAAAAATCTTAGGCGAACTCCCTCTGAATTAAGGGACTGGAGAGGTTAGCCTTTTTAGAAATGTATAAAAGGAAATTGGATTTGCATGTGCAAAGTGAAATTTGATTTACATATTTTAATCTTTTTAGTATATTTTATAAAACTAATCTGCCTTTTCAACAGGCATTCGATTTTCTACAATTAACATCACAGTCCCTTCCAGAGCTTTCTCCGTATAATTGAGGCATGATTAGGAACCGGAGCACAGAAAGGGCATGTTTGTGCTTTTGGTGACAGGAGTATGAATCAGACTTTGGAACATTCTATGCTTGAACACTCTAGGCTACTAAAATAAATTTTAAGAAACTGTACTCAAGAAGCACTTTACGTATTTTAATATCTAGAGGGAAATGGTGTATTGGAATGTGTTCAAAAATTCATTTCATTTTAGGCATCACCCAGATGGTTGGTTCTAGTCCAAGCCTCACCAAGTCTTTTTGTGAATAACGCTTTTATGACATGTACCTTGGATTCTAATGCTATGCATTTTATGAAAAACCTCTTAAGAATGCAGAGATTAAAATTCAGAGAAAATAACCCCTCACACTTTCTTGGGGGTTCAACTTCATGGAAACCAGGATGGTTTTTATGAAATTTACAGGAGGTAGGAAATGCTAGAGAAGTCACCTCTCGCCTTTAAGCATTTGTAGAGCTGTTTTCAGCGGGAGGAAAGTTTTAAAAAGCCCAGCAAGACTGATTGTTGACAGATTCATGCCTCTGTCAATCACAAGTTAAAGTGTAAACTAGTATCTGTTGAGAAGGGGGCAGGGACCATTCTGTCCTGAAGGGTAAGGGACCCCAGAAATGTTTCTGTGTACAATTTGCGAAGCTTACCCAGCAGTTTATCAGGGACAGCCCATGATGACACATGGCCTGGCCTCATGGCCCCAGGGGTCTCAGATATGAAGTCATTTTCAAGAAGAGAGCCTGCCCTGCCCCTCTTGGGATTTTCCCAATGTAACACAAACCAATCACAGATGTTGCAAATTAATAATTCATCCCAATTTCTGAGAGTGTGCATTAAAGGTAGAGAGGCCCTATTTTTTTTTGTTAACCAAGGAAATCTGTTTTTAATATTAGAATAGAGTCAGTTTACTAGAGGGTAATTCCATGCTGACAGCAAATATGAAAATTTAGTATCATTAAATAAATGCTAAATTAGACATATTCATGGCAGCCACAGGCAATGAGTACAGATTATGTAGACGGGGGCTCCAGTGCAGTATTAATTAACACACAATTCAAACTTGAAAGTCTAAGCTTTTAAAACACCCTAGAAAAGCTTTACTCTGAGCATTTGGAGAGAGGGGCTCAGTTTATAAAGGGCTCTTTATTCATACCTGGCAAACAAATGTGTCTCTATAGTGTGCAAAAATTCTCAGATGTGAAAGTGATTAACAAGAGAGTGCTAGGATCTGTTTAGCTCCAAGTGCATCACTTGCCAGCACAGCCCAGCCTCGGGACCCATTAGTGTGGTCCAGTTCCCAGTGCACAGGAGTTAGGACAGAGGACCCACGGAGTTCTGGAACCATCGATCCCACAAACCGCTCCATCATCTTAAAAAAAAAAACAAAAAACAAACAGGTAGAATCTGTCATGTTATACAGGACTGTGATTTGGGAGGTTTTCTCTGTGAGTGTGCATGGAGTCTGGAACTTCCTGTCACCAAGCAGTTGGGCTGGTTTCCGTCTGTAATGTAGGCTGTTGCACTTCTAGACAAATAGCCCCTGCAGTGCGGTGCTCAGGCAGCTTCTCCTGGCACTCAGAGAGCATCCCGTTCCGGAGGCAGTCACTGCCTTGAAGGCCCTTCTCAGGGTAAAGTGCAGGGACAGATGATAACACAAACTGCAGTGTGGTTGGTGCATCTCTTGGCATGCAGTACTAAAGATGAGAGAGGACGGAGGTTCTGGTCCCACATGCAGGGATCAGTCCAGAAGTGCCGAGTCCAGCTGTGCTGTCCTGAATCACACACACTGGGATTAATCTCAGAATCACCTGATGCTTTGATGCAGAGTGCTGGTGTTTGACTTGGCCGCCTTCTGCACTGCCAGGCCGACTCAAAGCCACAGTTTCATAGAGTGGGTGTGGTGGAATAGTACGGAATACCCTTGTTCTTCCCAAGTGCCACTCCACGCCCACCAAATCAGAGACTGATAGGAGCCCTCCAATCCTCATCAGTAGTTAAGTGATGGGATTTGTATGCTCATTAAAGTATTTTATTTCCCCCAGTACCGGGAATCTGGGGCTAGAACCCAGGGACTTTGTACTGAGCGACCTGCCCTCCAGGTCTTTTCTTATGAGACAAGGTCTTCCTAAATCATTAATTTCCCTAGGCTGGGCTAGAACTTGTGAACTTGGGATCCTCCTGGCTCAGTCTCCCAGAGGGCTGGGATTACAGGCCTGTAACACAATGCCCAGCTCACATCAAGTTTGAGAAACATAGATTTGTTAATGAATATAATGCATATGTTCAGAATTTCCCTCAGTCTGCCTCTTGATTCAGGCATTTTCTATTTTTAATCATTTTTTCCAAAGTCTACTCTTGGAGTCACTGCTAACACTTGCATAAACCAGAGTTTTTCTCATTTGAATGTTGACAGCCAGAGTGAAGAGAAAGTGGAGATTCTTGTGTATTCTGATGAGGTTTATGGACCAATGGACTGAATGTGAGGCAGCTGCGAATTGTAGAAGTTCACCTGTCCACAGTGTCCCCTTGAAAGTTAGGATCTGTGGTCCTTCTTCTGTCACTCTCAACTCTCAGTTAATTGTAGTGAGCCTTAGTGTTTGCTCACTTGCAAAATATGGAGGCCGTGGGCCATTTCATTGGCAATGTGACAGAATTCTGAACAGTTGGCTTGGCCACCTGGCCTACCAGGAATACTTTCTGTTGGTTTTCACTTTGTATGATCTAGTTACTTGGAAATTACAAATCCGAGGCTACATTAGTGCTGAATGGCTGGTAGGGTCCACCTGATCCAGTCGTGTTTGCTTTAGAATTTCTAAACTATTTTAACTCTTTCACTAGGAAAACAAAAATAGCTGGCTACTACCTAAATACTTGTAAACAGTTTTTAAACAACAAACTTGGGTACACTGGTATGAAAGTGTGTGTGTGTGTGTGTGTGTGTGTGTGTGTGTGTGTGTTCAATAAGCATCTGGTTGTATAGCATCAATACTTCTGTGTAATGAAGATCTTCAGCTGCAAACTACAGACTGTAAGAAATTCTGATCTCGCCTCTATTTTTCCTCTATCACCTTGGTATTTTCTTCTAGTTTTATATATTCTTAAATAAGCATTTTCCCTACAATGAAAAATAAAAATAAAATTTTCCGTGCAATGAAAAACAACATCTTTAGCTTTTGCTGTTCGTTTATATGATTTCTTCTGATCCTTACCAGTGTTTATCCTACAATCAATTTTCTTATTTTCTTTACTTTTTTTTTTTTTGCCATTCAGTAAGTAATTTCTCTAGAGGCATCTAACATCTTTTAAAGCATCTTATTCAGATTATAGATTTCAAAGCATTACTAGGTCATGGAACTAATTTAATAGGATTTAAAAAATAATGAGTAGTGAATATAAGTACTATTTTGAGAAATGTTTCCATTTGATAGACATGCCGGTATGTGCACACACTCTTGGTGTGTGCATTGGGTGTAGATGTTAAATGTATTTCATACTTCAGGTCAGAATAAAAAAATATATGAACACCGCTGCTCTGCAGGACAGAATCTATGGCTTCTTGCTTCTCTGAGGGACCCCTTTGCAGTGTAACCACAATGACAATAACCACACTGTTTGCATTTCCCTTTTTGGTCCTGGTGACCACCCTGGCTTGACTGGCTGCCCTCCCCAGTTGGCAAACACTGGGAAGTCTAGCATCACAGCCAGTACTTACCACTATATATTTTTGGTCTGACCTATTTCCACAGCCTTTTCTGATCTATGAAGTTACTGTCAACACACTGGGAGGTATTATTTATCTTCCTCCCATGGTTTTGGGTGACAAAGAATCGTCCCCGGGAAAAGTACCACTAGGAAGGTTGTCCCTTGGAAAAAATAGAGCTCTTTCTCAACGTCCCCTTGAAAACTTTTCCCCTTTGGACTTATCTGGTGGACAGGAATTAAAACCACCCCTGTGCACACATGAAAGGCCTTCTAAAAACTGAAGACCAACCTAATAGTACCTCAGAGCTTCCCCATGTCCCCTCTGCTCTGAGGTACTTGGGACTGAGATTGAGGTGGGGACCAAGAGATGAAAGAGCTAATTATCAAAACTGGGAACAGCTCACAGGACTCCAGCAGTGTGAGGAAAGAGAACCAAACATTAGTTACATATTGAAGACAGCTGGACTACAGGACTGGCCTCATCTTTAAGGGTCATAGTCATGGAGCTTGTCTATAGGAAAGCTTTGTGTTAAACCAAAGATGAGAAGAAAGAGAGGGTTGGAGTAAGCAAACTGTGAGGCAAAGAAATGCAAAACATCATTGTTCATATAAAACAGAATTTTCTCTCTTGTTAATGTAATAGCCCAAGGAGAATGGTCTCAGTTGGGTCCACACAGTTGCTCAGAAACCCAGTGACGGCCACTTGGACATTTTCAACAGGGGGTTCTCTGGGTCTCTCTGGGCCATGCCATTAAAACTGGGTAGATAGTATAGATGTATGTGCATGAAAGGGTTCATGGGCTGGGTCTGCCGGTGACCCACATCATCTTCCCCAACTCTTAGACAGAAGGTAATTATCTGGCTGCAACTAACAGCAGGAATGTAACCTTCCTGGATAGCCCTGCATTCTTCTGCAAGACTCTGGTGACCAGGGCATAGCCTCTTCTCAAGAATTCTCTCTCCCAGGGTGCCTTTTGTGTACCAAATGGTCCCACCAGATAATAAATACATTATCCTACTTCATCCTCAAATAACCAACAGTGTGGTAGATATACAATCATTAGATTACAGCCAAGGAAGCTGAGGTCCAGAAGCTGTGAAAGACAACCAAACATTATTGCCTTCTTCACTAACATAGCAGGAGATAATCCAGCATTTACTGTGTTTGAGATGCTCTTAGTGCCTCAGGAAAAAAAAGAAATAAAACAAAACCAAAAGCATTTCTTTTAATAGATTTATTGTGGTTTCACCAGAACTTCCAGCCTTTAATCCATGAACTTATGCATTGATTCTCTATCCGGTAGTGAAAGGGACTTTACAAATAAGTTTTGAGACTTTAAAATAGAATTCTGGATTGGATAGGTGGGCTGAAGATAACTACATGAGCCCTTGAAAGTAGAACTTTCTTTGTCTAGAGTCAGAAGCGGAAGTCAGAGAGACTCCTTGGGTGAGAAATCAGCATGTACTTGCTGGTTCTGAGACATAAGGACTCTGTGTAGGGTCCACTGACCTCTGGGAGCTAAGGGACCACTGCCACTGGCAGCTGGGAAGGAAACTGGGACCTTACCCAACACGTGAACTCTGCCAGCAGCCGTGACAGCCAGTTTCCTTCTATTCCTCCAGAGGGGAACACAGCTCTACTGATACCTCAAGTTTAGTCTTGAGAGATCCTACCAGGAGAAGTCTAGTTAAGTCACGCTGTACCTGCATTTTCTAGCCAATAGAACCTGAGATAAAGAGAAGGTTTTTTCCTAAGCCACTAAATTTGTGGTCATTCCTTTCAGCAGCAATGGAAAACTAATGCAATTCTCTAAATCTTTGAAGATAAATGTTCTTATTTTAAGTGTATGGTTTGATGAAGGTAAAATTCGTGTATAACTGGTTGTATTCATTGTATAACTAGTGTATAACTTGAATCTAGATCTCTTTGGCTTTAAAGAACTCTTTGTCCCACTAGGACATCATGCTACTTTCCAAAAGATGTTGAAATATCTTCTAAAATATACATAGTGTTATGCAAAGAAAAGGTATGTTTATCAACTCGGATTAGAAGTCCCATTTGATCCAGCTATTTCTCTGCTAGGTATCTTCCCAAAAGAATTAAAGGAATCATACCCCAGCAATATATGATCACCCATGTTTATTGTGGCACAGTTTATAATAGCTAAAATTTGGAAACAGCCTGATTGCCCATCAACTGGAGACTGGAAAAAGAAGATGTGCATTTGTTTTTATAAAATGGGGAGTACTACTCATCCATAAAGAATGAGAAACTAGAGACATGTATAGCTAAGTGGATGCACACTGAGGCCATACTCTTAAGTGAAATTAATAAGTCACACATGTGTAAATACCTAATAGTTTCTCTGGTGTGAAAAAGTAAAAGTGTAAATAAGGAATAAAATGTATAGTTTATATTGTATAACAGGAAAAAAAGTCTAAAAATGTAGAAGAAGTGGGAGGGGTAGGGGAAAGGTAAAAAGGGAAAAGAAAAAAATATGTGAAAAGGGAAAACATGGAAAAAATGTCTTTGTAAACAGGGAAAGGTGGAGGGGCCGAAGGGAACGCTGGGGAATGGGGAAAAATAAGAATCTGATAAGTCATGTATGCGTACAAGATCCCAATGATGAATGTAACTGTATTGTGTATCTAATATATACCAATAAATTTAATAAAGATAAAAAGAAAAGTTATGTTTATGAGTACAATATTAGGAGTAATATTTATTCTAAAAATGCAAGTTGGCTTCAAGAGTAAATGACCAGAGTGTTTCCAAAAAGAAAACAAAGACAGAAAAGTAGTTATCAATTTATTTCCAAGCCTAAAAGAAAAACAAGACAGAGCTATTATGTTAATTATGCCTTCTTAAAATATTAAACAAGCCCATTTTTGTTTGTATATGTAATTAAGAGATCCATTTGAGTTCTGACTTTGAGACAAGATCAAATTAAAACTGCATAGAGGCAGACATTTTAGTCTATCTTTTGTTTTCTGAGGTGCTAGATTGTGCTTTTGGTCTACTAGGTGAATGAATTGCTTTTTCCCTGCTCAAGAATTCCATAATCATACAACAATATGTGAGAGAAAGAGACATTAATATGTGAAAAGAAATGAGCGATTGAGATTTCATGGAATTTACATATAAATTTATAATATCCTTATGATTTGTGCAATTATGAATTTTTGGAAATTATATGCAGAACATTTCTACTTAGTTTCCATGTGGAATCTTCCTAGCAGTTGTTGCCTTCAGGGTACAACAAATTGAGGCCAGTATTCCTAATACCTGTTAAGGATTATAATTTCAGTTTAGTGTGTAAAATCCCTTGTTCTTCTCTAAATCCCAGCCCAAATTTTCAGAGCATGGCTGCTCACTTGTACAGACTATTTTTAGGTTGTGTAGGTGAAAGCTCACCTGTGCGTAGTAACTCTTACCTTGTCCTCACTTGTCCTTATACCATTGCACTCCATCCCCTAAATTCAGGATCTCAAGTGAATTTTCTCTGTGATAGAAATAATAACAGTGTGGTCAAGAAAGCAGAAGCCTCCTTACTTTTCCACAGTTTATGAAGGCTCTATAAAGAAAGCTTAGTTACAAGGGTGGGTGGATGGGTGTGGAACACTTATTTTAAAGAAATGAGGCATTCTGTTTCCTTTGTATCTCCAGTTGTTCATCTCTGGTTAATCTAATGTTTTCTTTCTCTCTCATTCCAACAGGAGTACTATGACAAAGGGGATTATATCATTAGAGAGGGTGAGGAAGGAAGTACCTTTTTCATTTTGGCCAAAGGGAAGGTAAATATTAATTAAAGGGTAAAGAAAAAAATGTTTTTTACAAAATTAGTTTGCCATAAATACAACAGTATTCTATTAAGAACCTCTGTGTGTTGAATAGTAAAGAAGCTTTACCCAGAATGGTCTTCTGGTCTTCTGTCTGATGGCTGGGTTTGGGGTTGGGATGTGGGAAACTTATGATGGGTTCCAGCTGAGAGACTAACATTTTAGTAACTTTTGAAATGTCACTTGACTTTCTTTGGACTTAGTTGCTTTGTGTATAATGGTTGGGCTATTTGTGAAGTCCTTTCTGGCTCTGCATGTGTGATTCTCAGTAAGTCCAAAGGACTTTCTGTAACATTTTTCCATCAAACAATAGCGATAAATAGCAGGTAGAGGAGAAAGAAAACAGCAAATGATGATGGTCATGGTCAGCCATCAAACTAGAAAACTAATATTGCTCAGAATTTCAATTCATACATAGTAGCCTGAGTTGATATGGATTAAATATCTCTCTCTCTCTCACACATGCATGCACACACACACACACGCACACACACACATATGCAGGTCTTTTTTTTTTTAACCTACCTATTATGCGAATAACGTGGTATGTTGTTTCTGTGTTGAGTCTTACATCCCTCAGAGACAAAAACATTTGTGAAATATTTAAGGAGAGTCAACAAGTAATCCTGTGTGTCTTTAAACTGTTGTAGATTTTAAATAATGCTCCATCTTCCCTGGAAGAATTTATCATCACAGTCTGTAACTGCCTTTTCTAAGCTGATTTGTGGGTGAACTTTGAACTTGACCCCCAGTAAATGAAAAAGACGAAGCAAAAGAGTTTCCAATCTCTGAGGCTGTTCAATAGTAACAGCCACATCTCCTTGCTCCACTACCGCGGCCCCAGGCTTTGAAGGAATTCTGGCTAATGACGAAGCTGCATTTATTATGGTTACTTTAAAATTTTTTATTCATTGTGACATACATAAATGTCATTCAGAATTTTCAATCAGCGTGGGGCAACAGTATTACCCTGTTGAACTGGAATAATTCTAGGCACAAATAGGGGATACTGTATTGAGATCTTTGACTGTGCAGTGAAGGTTCTTCCTGAGATATGCACAGAGGTTGTGGACTCTTCTCCAGCTCACGTTTTGCATTCCATTTTACAGGGTACATAGCATCTGGCCCTCCTCTGGACACCAGACTTAGAACCCTGGTACTCTACCTTATTCTTGGTAGATCTGTCAGTTCTGTCAGATGTTTTGAGTAACAGAAGTTCCCACAAGACCATCATTATTCTCTGAGGATCTCTGAGGAAGGAATCACTGGATTATTTTTAATAATTAACCTTTTTAGGGGAGGTCTGAATGGAGACTTCCTCTCAAAGAGGGTAATCATTGGATTGTGTTAGCAAGAGATTGTTCAGATCCATCCAACAGAGCTGAGTAAATTCATTGTCCTGGTGACTGCAGAGGTGATACTGGCGTGTCCTTTTTTCTTTCTTCATCAAGTTTCTATAGGTCTGAGGGTTTCGTTGGATGGATAGTTGTCCAGATTTTCTTTTTGTTCTTATTTTTGCTTAATATTGTCTAGGTGAAAGTCACGCAGAGTACCGAGGGTCATGATCAACCACAGCTGATAAAAACATTGCAGACAGGAGAATACTTTGGAGAGAAAGCTCTGATCAGGTGAAGCCATAAATTTATGTAACTGAATAAAATGTGCTCAGGCTGTTTTGCATGTGAAACTACCTATTTAGAGTTAAACAACCAAATTAATGGTAACAAACTTCCACAAATAAAATACAAATTTTGGAATAATTTCCAAAAACCCTCACTGTTATGCAGGAAATAAGTCTACTACTTTTGTGCAGCAAATAATTGAAGACTTAAGTTGGCTGGTGAAAATAAGATTTATGTTCTCTTAGAACGTTTAGTTTTAAAAAATCAATTTTAAAAATGGAAAATTATAATTTAAAACAATAACAAGTTTTTACATTCCTATGGCTTGAAATATTGCCCTATTCAGAGTGTGTTAAAAAATTAAAAATTTTAGAAATCAGATAATGACATGTCCAAAGTAATGTTTTAGGAATTCTCATCAGCTTATTTTAGAAACAACTCAAAATAGTGTATTTGAAATGTCTGTCTGAAAGTTCAGTCTTTTGAGGTAAGAGTTGTTTTTTTAACTATTGATCTAATTTATGAAAGAAATGTTTTTAAAGGCTAATCAGGTAGTTGAGGGGACTCTTATAAAACCTCATGTCTGAACAAATTAATTTCCTAAATATAAATAACTGTATAAAATATAAAGTTAAAGTTTTGGGCAACATACTTTTAAAGAATGGTATGTTTTTAAGTAAGTACTTCGAATAACTTAAGACATGACTTAAAAATTTTTAAGACTAAATATTTTTATTATAAATTTGTGCTTAAAGGAGCAGTATTTATGTTCATTCTTCTTTGTCTGAACTTTGGTTTATGAAGCCCCAGTTCTGCTGATTTATATGACAGGTTCACATAATTATAGAGCAATGAGAAAGTATTTAGAAATTACCTGAAGACACATTTGATTATTCAAAAATTTTAAAACTCTTATTTTAAAAAGAAAACCCAAGTGCTATGCTAAGACTTAATAAATTGCATTATAGCTATTATGCAGGCAATTTAAAAGTGGAATTTAAAGACAAGTTGAATGTCTCTTTCCCATTTTCTAGCTAGTAATGAGCTTGTTTCAATAGTAGGAAAATTATCTTTCTTTTTATGTGCTATCATAATGTAATAGCATTATCTATGTTTTGTTCTTAACATTTATGCTTTATTTTTCTCATGCTCCTAAGTGTAACAACTAAAGTTTGGAGGTGCACAAAACTTTATGAAACAGCTCTTGTAAGGAAATACATTATCTGTTTTTGCTGGACCAAAAGTAATGTATGCTGTGTGTTCCAGCAAGCCAAGTATAGTGTTTTCCTACAAGAAACATGAGAATTTATGTGTTATATGAACACCCAGGTTCCCAAGGCAATGAAAGTATATAAAGATAAAATCAATGGGAAGGAAAGCTGGGAACAAACATTTTTATGTGTTTATACATGTTTATACCATTGCTTTTTAGGGCTGCTGCCTGTGACTACATATTCCTTATGTTCTCTATATTTTCATGACTTGACATTAAATAGTTCCCTGAGTTCTTTCAGAATTTTTTTGTGCAAAAATAAATCAATGGCTCTTACAAGGTTACTGTGAAAGGAATATAAGTGTATTTATGAACATTTAATACCTATAAAGGATTTCAAGAGGATGTTCTTAGTGAAAATCATGATGCTCCTGTGTGAAAAGACTACCGTACTTCTTTTTCTCTGAATGCACAGATCTTGGTCCATAATCCAAGATCTTGTCTGTGTCTAGACCTACCTGCCTTCATCTCCACCATCCCTGCCCCCATCTATCTGTCTACCTATGTACCTACCTCTTACCTATCTTTGTGTCTAACTACACAAATATAAGTTGAGCACAGACTGTTCTGCCTTTGACTCAAAGATCTTTCTAGGTGAAGTATTTTCCCTGCTGTCTTCCAGCAAGGATCCTACAAACTGGGGTCGGACTGTAGTTATGTCAGGTCTTCCAATGGCAGCTGGGGGACTTTTGGGGGGATAGTAGAGATGGGCACTAGAGTTCTTTCTGCCCTACCTACTATGAAGGAAAGGGAAGGCACTTTAGTTTGGGCGATGCATTTTTGATGAAGTTGCACAGAAGTCTCACTGGTTACGACTCCACTGATTTCCACTGTGCCTAGGTTACCTTAGATGAATCTCTGAGCACTAGTTATCATATGGAGTGTATCTTTTTAGTGTCTTTAATTTATAAGTAATACAGGTAGGAAAAATAACATAATGTGAGGTTTCTAAAGATGCGCTTTACTTGATGCTTGACCTATTGATATTCATTAGGAAATTAAATTTATTATCAGATCAAACACTGTATAATAATTCATCATATCTAAAAAAACATTTGTAAGATATACCACTATATTATGTACCCCCTAAGAAAGACAGTGCTGATAATTACACTCCAGCCCAGTATGAGTCATAATTCATTCACTGATCACAAAGATTTTAATGGAAAAACATACATTCACATTCTATGAAATGAAAATATTTTTGTACTTAATTAATTAGATGATATAGCATTGAAAACATTTCCTTTGGGCTACATTTTTGATCAGTTTATCATATAGTAATCTCTTGGCTGTTTTCCCTAACTTTCTCTGATCTGTTCATTACTGTGCTGCCTCCTTGTTAGTCATTCTGCTTTGATGGGGGAGAGCTATGTCGTTTTGCCTGTCACAGAGCTCAAAATGAGATTCCATATCAAGTTATAGTCAGTGATCCCTCTGTTTCCAGCTCAGTTTTCTCTGAATTTCTTGCATATGTAACCTTTATTGGCACACATTTGAGAGCCCTTTTTTCTTTCCTGTTTTTAAAAGGAGTTGGATATAAATTACAATGTTACAAAAAGAAAATCAGTCTTTACAAGGCTTAAGTGAGGGGTATGCTTTTATATAAAGTAGTAGATTCTCTAGTAAAAAAGAATGTTTAATTTCAAGCTGTATGAAAGCTGGCTCTTTTGTCTACAGTGATGATGTGAGGTCTGCTAACATTATTGCTGAAGAAAATGATGTTGCATGCCTGGTGATCGACCGAGAGTGAGTATCCCGATACTGTTGGAGAAGGCAGGCTGTTGCCATCTCTGAAGACGTGGCCTTCTGTTACTCTGAGGGCTGATCTGTTTTCTCATTCATCACCACTTGGAAATGCTAGCCAATCCTCAGCTGAGAGTTCAGTCTATTAAAATTCATGGGAAGGAACTGGGCCTTCTGATCTGATTCTGTCTGTGGCAGTGGCAGATGCTGGCAGGCTAAATATTTTGTGTGCAGAGTCTGTACATAAATATCACCAGCAGAGTGATTTAAATTCTACTACTCTCAGAGAAATAAACTTATTAGTGCTTTTATGGGTTTTCCCATATAATATAGCGAGCAATTTCATAATTTATTTCTAAAGTGCCCTTAGCACTCAAAAAAGTTTTGAACAAATCCCCTCTAAAAATATAAAATGTTCATTAGCTATTTATATTTCTAGAGAAGTTTTAACATTTGTAAGTGATATGTATCAACACTGATACCTAAATAAGAATAAGTCTCATTGTGTCTTTCATTCACTTCAAATCATATTTTAACCTGGCCTCTTCTGTCTCTCATTTATCAGTTATTTATTGGTCATAAGATACAAAAAAGGAGACCCAAATATACCAAAGCTAAGCTATTGTCAAAGAAAAGACATATGTGGTCAAGTAAATAGTGCATACTCATGAAATACTAACAAAAAACCATAAGGTTACAAAGGAGTTACAAGGGAATATGTAGTTGACTGCTGATTAAGTACAACATTTGTTGAATGTAGACTCACAGAGATGTAGAGTTGGAAAGAACTTTAGAGCATCAAAATCCTTTTTATCATGGAAAACTTCAAACACTGAAAAATGGACATACCAGTGTCATGAACCCACATATAAAAATTTAACAATTCTTAATTCGTGTTTCATATATACCCCTTCACCAGTTCATGCCATCTTCTGACTTTTCAAATTACAATTATGAAATTATTTTGTGTATATATTTTTGTAGTATCTCTGAAAGCCAAGCATTATTTATAAACTTGGCCCAATAATATGAACATGTCTAAAAAGTTCACAATAAATCTTAATATCACTTAGTGTTGTTTTAATTCTCTTCTTTACAAGTAAAAAAACCCTATAAGGTAAAAAAAATTGCCCCAGTGGGGCCATCTGTGATCAAGTAGGGGCTGTTTCCCAGGGTCCTAATTCAGTCCTGCATGCTTTCATACATTCTTGGTGGCTCCCAAAACAGCTGCTCAGAAATCACTATGCAGACAAGTCGTCAAGGTTGATTTTATTTTTCAAGGGTGCAAATGGGCCTTAAAAGAGTTAATAGGAGTTTTCTGAGCAAAGGGGAAATGTGCCCTCACTGTGGATGAAGTAAAACTGCAAAGCAAGGGCATAGAGGTAAGAAAGTGCAAAGTATGTTCAAATAAAGGGAATTTTGGGGTGCCAGCTCTCAAGTGTTCCAATATTATTTTATATGCATTACTTAATATACATTACTTTATATGCATTATTTTATATGCATTACTTAAAAGAATATGTATGCACCAACTATCATTAGCTCAGTGGTATAATTGCTGGGACAAAACGATAGAAAAGAAGAGCTCTTTTATTTTTTCTTCATTGTAATCACATACATTAGATACTTATGTAATACCTCATAATCCGTAAAACTTGCAATAATATTACATATTTTATAAATTATTTGGAAGTTTATAATTTTAAAATGTTTAATTCACATATCTATCACGGATAGTCTATAATATATATTTGGTACAATAAAATATTTAAGTTTTGTGGATTTATTCTGGGGAGCAGAGATACTGAATCAGGTATCCCTGGGGTTGACTTACATCCTGAATTTTCTGGATCGGTTAGGAAACATTATATTGGCATCTCCAAAAACTATCCCAGATTGAATGATGAATGATAAGATCACCAAGCTATGAGTTAAACTAGAGTAGGTTAAGATCCTGCAAAATGCTCCCATAGCACACCGCATACCCTAATTGTGCCACTGTTGACTGTGTTGTTTAACATCTGTCTTCCCCCTCTCCTGTAAGCTTGCAGAATGTAGAAACATATGACGCGTGCACTGCAGCTGCAGTGCCAGCATCTGCCATCCTCAGCACATGGGCAGCGCTTGCCAGATGGTGGCCCAGTAAAGGCTACCATCCATGCAGTGCAATACTGTGGCTGCAAACCTGCAGATCTGTAGTTCTTCTTTCCTAGTTCACGATTTTAACAAATGCTTAATACATTCACAACGGGGCCATAATGTGTATGCCTTGCTGCCCTGTGGCTCTGATTTGAATTCTGTTGTCTGATGTTAAACAGCTAACCACTGATGATTTGGGCTGCTGGGTGGGCCAGTCGTGCATGTACCACAGGTGGTTCAAGCCAGTGGAAATGTGCTTTTAAAATGATGCCATGCAAGAGGGAAAGTTGAATGATATTTCCTATTTAGAGGGGTTTTATTTTGTTTTGTTTTGTTGTTGTTGTTTTTTGAGACAGGGTCTCACCATGTAGTTGAGACTGACCTGGAACTCACTGTGTAGCCCAGGCTGGTCTCGAACTCACAGTGATCCTCCTGCCTCAGCCTCCTGAGTGCTGGGGATTACAGGCATGCACCACCTCACCTGGCCCCCCTTTGTTTTTTAGACGGAGTCTCACTATGTATTTCAGGCTGGCCTTGAACTTATTTGTAGCCCAGGCTGGTCTCACACTCACCTCCCTAGCGCTAGGATTACAGATGTGCACCATCAGGCCCAGCTAACATTTATTTTTAAAATTTGGTAGAGGATGTGAAATAATAGTGTCGAAAGAGTTCTAAGCAAATGGCAAGTGTTCGTTATTGGTCACAAATCTATTCTTGTTAGATTGGACAAATCTCAAAGGAGTTGATTGCTTAGCCTTGGGCTCGCTCTAACCTCTGACTGAAAACAGGCTGTTTTAAAGTTACAGCTAGAATGTTGTAGCTGTTGGAACTTGACTTTAAGATTAGTTAGCAAGTCTAGGGACTTGTGGCACCAACATCACCTATGCTAAAAAGTAAGATGTTTTGAAACTGTGTTTCATTTAGCCTAGTAGCAAGCAAATAATGGTGAAAGAAGGAATAAATAAAACAAAAAGTACAAGTACTATTTTCTTTTTATTTGAAGATTTCAGCTGTTATGGAAATTAGAATTTTTCCTGGATATGTTTTATCTCTCACCGCTCTGTAGTTAGCAAAGGTCTGTCCAGACAACACGGTGGAGGAGAGTGGGGAGCACTACTACAAGGGTTCACCTGTGTGCAATTCACACACGATAACTTAGGGGTGGATTGGCCATCAGTTAAGTGTGCAGGTGGTTTTTTACCTTTGAGTATTTTGAAGTAAATTCTAATTCTTTTCATTTGACTGCATACCAGATCCTTAAAATGTTACCAAAATGATTAAAGTATGGCCTTTGCTTTCAAGGACACTGTTTTGTAGTAAGGAAGAGAAATACCTTAAAACCCCCTAATCAAGGTCGCTTGTTGAAAGAACACACAGGAAGTGCCAGAAGGACAATCAAGACAATTATCTTTCACTAGTGAGGAATGGAAATCGTTTTTCTCTTGGGCAGTGGAGTGTGTAGAAATTTCAGGGACAGTGGCTTGGGACTGGAGTTTAGATCAGATCAGGTGGGCAGAAGCTCCATAATCTAAGAAGGGTGAGCAAGGGCAATGGAAAATATTGACTGAGCCTCAGACAGAACTAAGTTAAGACTAAAAAACTGGATTTAATTATGAAAGGGTGTGAAATGTGGAGAGTTATCAGAGACAATGAAGAAATAAATTTTATCCTTGATCTTTAAAATAAAGAGCTTAGGGCCGGGGATTCAGCTCAGCGGTTCAGTGGCCTGCCTTGCAAGTGCAAGGACCCGAGTTTGATCACCAGTACCTAAATAAATAAATAAATGAATAAATGAATAAATAAATAAAAATAAAATAAAATAAACAGCTTAATATAAGCAGTGTTAGAAAAATCTGTAACCCCTGAAACCTGCTGATTTTGGTAGGTGGATCACATGTGCTTTTTCTCCTGTCTTTTAAAGACAAAATAAAACAAGAATTTGTTGGTAAACCAGAACTGCGAATCTGATAACTATAGACAATATTTTCTCATGATAGCTCTCTTCGCTTTCATAAAAGATTGATTATAGGGCTTTCATCAACTCATCTACATATGATAGCACCTTCATATTCCATAAATTATTGGAAACAACATACAAAGCCATGAGTAACCACGCAAATATGATTTATGAGTTTAAGAAGAGTGTCAAGTTGCCTCGGTGTCAACATAGAGCATCTTATTTTATTTTATCTATTTAGAACATTCAGCCAAACCGTCGGGACATTTGAAGAACTCCAAAAATACCTTGAGGGGTATGTGGCAAACCTGAACCGTGATGATGAAAAAAGACATGCGAAGTAAGTGGGAGAACATTTTTCCACCTAGATTTGACTTCTGGCAGATAAAAGAGGGGATATAGGAGTAGGATTCCCTGTAGTAGCTTGTAATAGTTCTGCAAATAAGACAACACTGAGCACTAGAATGAGATTATTAAGTTTATAAGTAGTTAGCAACTTTATTTTGGGTGATGAGTAGGAATTTTAGGGAGAAAATCTGGGTAACCTAGCTCAAAGGGACATTAATACTTGGGTATAGCCAAAGAATAGGGATATAGTAGGAAATTTTCAAACTGTATGGGAGCTACTATCTAGTGACGTGTGTGTGTGTGTGTGTGTGTGTGTGTGTGTATGCATGTGTCTGTGTGTGTATCTCTGTGAGGGGGTTTTGTAGGGCTATAATTCAATAGAAAATTTATTTTAAGTGAAAATTATTTGCTAGAACTTTTTAATTTTTATTTTATATGTTTATCTTTTGCAGTGCTAGGGATTAACCCCAGGGCCTAGTGTATGCTAGACAAGCGCTGTACACTGAGTTACACTCCCAATCCTTAAAACATTTTTGAGGGAAAGCTTAACCACATGCTCACCAGATAGTTCTTTCGAAGCTGTATCATCAAGATTTCCAGAAGACTGAAGTTTGAGTTAGTGCATTTGACCAGTACTTACTACATTATTTGCAAAGAATACATTTGCTATTTTATACTCAAACCCTTTGCCACTCACAGTTTATGACTATATAACTCAGAGAAGTAAATCTTAAAGAAAAAAGAAAAATAGATATTTACAAATAATACATAGACACAAGAAATGTGCTTTTTGTGCTTTGTGAAATAGCTATTCTGGGTAAGCCACAGAAAATTTCAAAATTGAATGAAAGTACCAAAAAATGGCACAGATTGCCAGTTTCGCTTTTTCTGGTCTGTGTTGCAGTTGACATGGCTTTGTGCTGCTAGTACCTCCATGGACTCCTTTTTTGAGTTGTGCATCAATGAATGTATTGAGGCATATTTCAGTTTGACTTTTGGCTATTTCCTGGTGTGTGTGTGTGTGTGTGTGTGTGTGTGTGTTGTACATTATTTATTTATCTCTCCAGATGTGCCTGAATCTGGTCCTACCATACCAAAGTTCAGATAGCTCTTGTGGCAGCTCTAGTCTGTGCTGCAGGCAGAAATACTCCTGAGAGTGGAGTTAGTGGCACTTATTCAAGTGCCACACAATGGCATGAGTGTCAAGTTTTGCTTCTCTCATCCAGGCGGTCCATGTCTAACTGGAAGCTGTCCAAAGCACTGTCTCTGGAGATGATTCAGCTGAAGGAGAAGGTGGCCAGATTTTCCTCCTCATCCCCCTTCCAGAACCTTGAGATTATCGCAACACTGGGCGTTGGTGGGTTCGGAAGAGTTGAGCTTGTAAGGGGTTTACGTTTCAAGCATCTGAGAGAAGCCTTTTGACTTTCTTGTTTTATATTCCAGCTGATCTTGGAGGAATATGTGAATTATAATTGCTATCCTAAATATCATTTTGATCTGAAATCAAGAAAGTAAACTTTTCATTCTGTATACTGTATAGTAGCAGGTCTACTAGTAAGTAGCTAGTAATAATTGGCTGAGAGTTCAAGCCTCTTACACCAGTCCTTTGGTGAATTTGTATTCTTGGTTATGATTATCAGAGAATTAGCAAATAAGCATTCACAAAGGCTATAAAAAGGAAAACAATATTTCTGATTAGAAAAATGTGTATCTATAGATGTATACACGTACAGACACATTAACTCTCCATACTAAAGAATAGAAGAACGTTTTCAGAAGAAATTATCTAGAAATTGAATCCCGAATATTATGGTTACATTCCTTAAGCCTCTCACTACCATGTCTGTGTTTGGTTTTCATTATCCTATTTTTGGGTTGCTCAAAATTTTCCATCTGAAAAGAGAAAGAAGATGATGCAAAAGGCCATTTGAAGAGCAGCCCTCTGTAGTGGTGAGCAGGGCAGCTGGAAACTTCCAGGCTGATTGCAGTTGTATTGTGCACATCACCACCTGTCTGTGCTTGATAATCAGCTTTCAAGGAGTAGCAGAAGCAGCACTATCAGATTAAGTGTTCTGAGGAAACTATGCAAGGGAAACCTGTAGCCTTATTGGATGCAGATGGCTCAGAGCCCTTGGCAATTACCAAGCCCTTCTTTGCCCAGTAGATTTTCAGCAATTCAGGGTGCACTGACCTCTGGGAGCTATGTGGACGTCTCTGTCTGCTGATGGCTCCAGGCAGGAGCAGATCTGACCTGCTGCTGGAGATTCTGGGTAGTACATTCCATACCTAGCCCATTCCTCATTTCGGATGGGTGTGGGAAAGTGGTTTTTAATAGGTTGACAAATATTTGTAATATGTCTTATGCCATATAGAGAGGTAAGTGCATTAGCCATCTGCAGTAGTGTTTCCCAGCAAAGATTATGACAAAAGGATTGAATTAGCAATGCTGTGATCTGTTATCCTTGATAACAATGATTGAACCAGGAATTCCACCACTGATTTAAAAATTGTAGGCAGTGAGCAAAATCCAGAGTGCAACTATTTTTGCACAGCTTAGTTACTTGATGAATGTAGTCTGCTTATGGGGTTTTTAACCTATCAGAGAAAATACCTTCTTTTAAAATCTTAGCTTCCTTTTAAAGGAAAATTCTGATTTTGCTTCTAGACTAGTACTCTCCGACAAGACACGTGTGTCTTGATGGAGATGCCCTACATCTGTGCTGTTCAGTTGGGCAGTAGGTAGGGCATTTAGCTCCTGAGTATGGGAAATACAACTAGTGCAATTGAGGAACTGAATCCAATAAATTGGACTTTAATTAATGTAAAATTTTCTAGGCGTGGTGGTGCATGCTTGTAATCCCAGCACTGTGGAAATGTGAAACAAGAGGATGGCAAGTTTGAGCCTAGCCTGGGCAAGTTAGCAAGTCTTTGTCTCAATAAAAGAAATCAATACAAATTTAAAGAGCTGGGGATGTAGCTCAGTGCAAAGGCCCTGCATTTAATCCCCAGCACCACAATACATAAATAAATAGCCAACCAACCTCCTGTGATTAGTAGGTATTCTAGTGAATAATTAAGACACAGAACTTGATTTAATACATTTGCTTTGAAAAATCAAAAAAGGTGAATAGTAAGATTAAGACATAAGATTTTGAGGCAATTCATGCCAGAATTTTTCATGTTGCACAAGCAAATCAAATAGATATCTAAAGATTAAGTCTCTATCCAAAATTTTTTTGTTTCAAAAAAAAACAAACAAACATATACCTGAGCTGTCTTGGAAATTATGATTGAAGGGAAATGTGTACATATAAATAGAATTCAGTTTATTTTGGGGGCAAGGGCATAAAAGCTTACACACTATTTAAATACAAAATGATTTTAGCTCTCATTCATTCGTGTTTTAAATAGAGATTGCAGATCTTCCCTGCTAAGTCCATTCTGAGTGTCTTTCTGTTTCTTACATAGGTTAAGGTAAAAAATGAGAATGTTGCCTTTGCTATGAAATGCATAAGGAAGAAGCACATAGTGGACACCAAGCAGCAGGAGCACATCTACTCTGAGAAGAGGATCTTGGAAGAGCTGTGTTCTCCCTTCATTGTGAAGTAAGCGAGCATTTTGCCTCCCAGGGCTCTGGCGTTGCAGGCTCTTCTTGTGAATGTTGCTATGTAAGAGGACAGAAAGAAGAGAAGGAGGAGGCTTCCTTCTGATTTCTCCAGTGAGACCTGAGCCTAGAGTTCCCAGTTGTTTCTCCTCTTGAGTAATCCTTACAAAAGTACATTTGTATGTGTATGATGTGTGAGCATAGAATTATTGCAGAATAATTTGAAGTGATTATTTTATCCAAAGCTAATGTAGACTTTGGGATTAGGGAGACGCATATCAGCAAGAAACCCCTCAGAAGGTATGCTGATGTTGAATTTGTGCAGGCAGTGATACTTGGATATAGGGTGGCTGTAAGAAGGAACATATACCCTGGCCCTAGCAATGTCTAGGTACCAAAGGATTTAATAGATATTCTTTTTTTTAACTATAACTGTCACCAGAGTTTAGAGGAGAAATAGAGATTATTCTAGGCTATAGCTCTCTTTACTTGTGAATTCATGGGTTAGTGTTATAAGGTAGTATGTAATGCTCCAAAATGTAGTTTTAGTGATTTCCGGCTGATTCTGTCCCTATAATAAAGAGAATTTTTACTTTTTGATCAAGTACCTTAAGAGAACCTTTTACCTATCCGTAGTCCCAGACATTATATTTTTCTTAAGATTAAAAAAGAAGTCTGAACCCAGTCCCTGCTGGTAGTAGTCATTAAATTATTTTTATTTTAATGATGGCCCCAGAATGCTCTTTTTAAATTAATATTCATAGCGAGCTCTGATGAGCAGCTTCAGGGCATGGATTAGGTTGTATCCATTTTGGCATTTCATGCTCTTTGTAAAGTGGCATATTTTTAGAAAATAATAATATGAAGAATAAATATTAGTGGCAAAGTTTATTGGACTGAGAGATGAACATGCACCAGGCTGTCTTCTAAACCATATACATAGAGGGAGTGAAGAAAATAATCAGATTTACCCCACTGGTCTAGCAGGATCAACGGAATATATTTTGTATAAATACCTTTCACCAGTGAGATGAAAATATACATGATATACAATCCAATGAATATGTATGTTCAGTGAGAAAGCGGAATTGCATAACTAGTAAGTGTCTGATCTGGGATTCCAGCCTGGGCCATTGGTGCAGAGCCCACTGAGAAGCGCATTCTCAGAAATGCTTCTCCCTGTGCAGATCCAGTTGTTCTCCTGTCAGCCTTAGCCTACACGTGGCACTAGGGAGAAAAGAGGAGACCCAGGGGCACACCTTGCATCCTGTGCTAAATATGGTCTCCTGCCCAGGCCCCACTCCAGGACAGAGGCTCTCTCCTCCAGCTTCGGGGAGTGTTGCCAGCGAGGGATTTTTGCTCAGCCCACCTTCCCACCAGGGTCTCTCTGGACATTCTCATCCAGGGCAGTGGGGCTCCTTGAAGGTGGGGCCTCCGTGAAAACGACGTCAGGTCCTAGTTTAACTCTTTCTGCCCGGTCTGCTTCCTTCCTCACATGTGTGTTGTCCCTAAGTGCCCTCCCCACCAGAGGTACTGCTTACAAGTCTATCTCAGGGGACTCCAATACCAGTTAACTAGTAGGGGACAAGAGCACAGATAACTATTATGCAAGGTGACACAGGTAGAGGTCGATGGCTTCTGAGGGTATGGAGAGGCCATATTTGGTGGGTGAGCGGGATCAAAGGTGCTTTATTAAGAAGGTAATGAAACTGAGATGAAGAAGTTCAGTCTGTGGGAAGTGAGCGGGCAGGCTGAGGAAAGGGATTCCATGTAAGAAGGTGGTAGGAAAGATGAAAGAACTTTTGGCAAGAAGCCCAGTGTATGTATAGGATATTTGTACGGACGTGAGGGTCATTGTTCAAAATGACACTGTTAAATAAATGTGAAGAGATTTTAAAACTATATTTCAAATAGTAACCATATTTTTAACCTGTCTTCACAGATTATATCGTACTTTCAAGGATAATAAATATGTATACATGCTTCTGGAGGCCTGCTTGGGTGGAGAGCTGTGGAGCATATTAAGAGACAGGTAATGAAAAAGAGTTACAAGCAACAGTTTTGTCTACTCACATCTGGTATACAGGAAGTTATATTTACAATCAAAGAGCATGAAGGAAATTGTTAGGAAAAGATGTACTAAAATATGTTTTCTCTTGATAAAGTAATATAGTGATATTTTATTAGCTCACAGTATACTTGTGCCATGAGTGTCCTATAAAGTGGTCCTCATTATATTTATTTTAGAGATTAAAGACTTCCAGCTCAGAAATGGTAAGCTGTTCAAGGTCACATGGCTAGTACTAGGCAGACTCACAGTACAAATTCAGATTCCAAATCTCATACAAAAGAGATATTTTGGTGAGTGGCAGAGCCCTGACTGAAAAGCACAAGAAGATTTTTACAAAGACTCAGTTTTACCAAAGGGGTGATTTCCACACAGTCAAAACTGCAAATATGTACTGTGTGCCACATCTATGGAATACTTCATAGTAGACAGTACGGGGGTTTTCTAGACAGTATAGATTTTTCCTATCCAGAGGACTAACAGTGTAAACATTGTTCTAACAAGTTTAGAATTTCTTTGGGGAAAATTATGTGATTTAAATTTTTTTCATTAATATGAAAACTAAACATGACAAAGACATTGGCAGTTTAAAATTAAATGGCACAAGAGTGCTGTAAATAGCAAGCTCAAAATAAGGGAGAGAGAAAACAAACCTGGTGATAGAGGAAGAGTTTGAACTACACTCCAAAGATGACCAAAAATTTAGAAAGGCAGCAATGTGGGCAAGGACATCACAGAAAAGTTGGCGTAGTGTGAAGCCTCTCTGTGACTGATGAACAGAAGGATTTGCGTAGAGGATAAGAGCAGCAGAAGTTGGCCCGGGGATTTAGCTCAGCAGTTCGGTGGCCTGCTTCGCAAGTACAAGGACTCAAGTTCAATCCCCGGTACCTAAAAAAAAAAAAAAGCAGCAGAAGTGGAAATGGGAAGATGGGGTTGGCACTGGATTGGTGGCATTGCTGCCGGCCAGATGATCGACACATTCTTACCTGGGGCAGTGTTCCCAGCCCTGGGTACATGTGACAGTCACACGGGAAGCTTTAAAAAGTACAAATGCTGCTTCCTAAGGCCAGAGAGAATAATATTTTTAATACTTCTCAGTAGTTAATACTTCTCAGGTAATTCAGATGTGCACTCCTGGCTAAGAATCACTGACTGAGGCAGGCAAAGACCACTGCGCTTCTGAGTAGAGGGTGTTGTGTTAAGAATGTGTCATTAGATGGACTTGAATGGGGAGAACCTAGAAGGGTGAGGAAACTTTCATGAAACCTGCAAAAGCAGCAGCCTCTTCCGTCTTTGCCTCGCTAGGCAAATCTACTTTGAAAATCTAAATCTATTTTAAAGAGAGAGTTCCAACCACCTATTATACACTTGCTTAATGTTGATAATAACCCTATTAAATAATTAAGCAAACCCAGTTTACAGGCATGGATCCTAAAGCTTACACTAGCTAAATAACATGTCCAAGAATACAGGAAGTGGAGGAATCAGGAATCTAACCTGGCTTTTCTCCCTTCAAAGCCATGTCCTTCTGTTATTGTTCCCGGACAAGTCATCCCTACAGTTTAAAAACTCAGGGTGTAAAGCTATGCACCTTGTCAGTGCAGGGCATCTTTAATAAAAGATCAAGGGGCACGGAATAGGAAAGAGATATGCCCCCCGTTATTCTTCCTGATTACTGTTACATGCTATCCAGCAGGGACTGAAATCCCGTGAGTCGCATTTCAGTCAAGCGTCAGTTATGGAGGTCTGGTTCAAGCCGGCCACTGAAATAGCTGCATTTTCTCCAGTTTGCCATAGATGTCTTTGAAGAGGCTTCCTTTTCTTATTTTTCTGTTTTATTTGCTCAGATGTGACTAACAAGTGTTTGGATGTCCACAATTTAATTTCAGTGAAGTAGTTCAACTTTGCATCAGGTATCACCCTGACTTCCTTTATGATCAGCAAACAGCCTAGTTGGTGGCGTAAAACAATTTCAACATTGATCCTCTCTCTATGAAACATTTACATTGCCTACATATACTAGTAGGACAAGTGATAGCTAGAGCAGCACAAAGATGTACATCCAGAGTATTAAGAGGGAAAATCATTTCATTTCAGAGGCAGCTTTGATGAACCCACCTCCAAATTCTGTGTGGCTTGTGTGACAGAAGCATTTGATTACCTGCATCGACTAGGTATTATCTACAGAGACCTGAAGCCAGAAAACTTAATTCTAGATGCTGAGGGTTACCTCAAATTGGTAAGTATCATTGTGAGATATTTCTAAAACAAAGTTGTGTCATAGTTGCAATTTTCTTCTTAATTTTGCTACAGTTCTTATTTTCTCTTGCTCAGCTAAGGCTCTGAAATTGGCATACTTAATACTGGGAACAATATTATGAGGATGTTATTTTTGGCCTAGGAATTTAATGATTTCACCACAGTTATGCCTTCTACTAAAGGTTCACATAGCAAAATGCCCCTAAGAATTGGATTTTTAAAGTAGTTTTGTTTAATTGAATTAGGGTTCAATTGATTCCTATGACGTTTAGGACTGGCTATAAGGAATAGGGAAAGAATACAGCATGATTCCTGCCCCCAAGACATCCGCTGTCCACATAAGGAGAGAAGATAAACTAACCATAGGACCATGGAATTATTTTGAAAAATTTCCAGGTGATTCTAAGGGGCAACTAGGGATGACTACATGAGGACAAAGAGTTTTCTTGCTTTCTGTCTTTGTGATCCATTAATGCCTAACAGAAATGTCTTTGTATCTCACACTAAAGAAAAAATGGCTACCAGTCACATGAACTGAGAAACTAAAATAGACCCGGATGGGCATAAATGAGGAGAAATCACTGCACTTTGGAGTGCTTCTGGAGGGAATCCTACAGGATTGTTGACCTAGACCAAGTCTTCCTGGGTCCATTTCCATAATTTTTCAAGGACATTAAACCATCTGTGAGCTTAACATATAAAATATTACAAATTTCCTACCCCAGAATTTTTATACAAGGAAACATTACAGTTGTGTAATAAATAATTACTATGTGTAAATTTACTGTACTAAACCTTTTACAGTGACTCCGCTTAACTATCTACAAGATAGATTTTAGCATCCACATACCCTCCTTGCAGAATGTAACGGTAGGAATTAAACTTCTTATGTGTAGTGCTAAGAGACCTCTCCCCACAGTAGAGTAAAATAAAAGCCCTTTCATGTGAAATCTGGCTAACTTCCAAGAAACATTTTGATCCATTCAAGCTTCATTTTATCTATGAAAGACAGCTTTGAAAACTGGTGAGGTACTAACACAAGGCCACAATCATTCCCCTTATTCACAGTTCCTTCATTTACTATGCCTCCTATGGCTCTTTAAGGAAACCCTTTGGTATATTCTGGAAGTAAAACCATCATGGGGGATAAAGGCCATCCATTGGCTTCTTCATCTCTTCTTTCTCAGAGCTGTTTTTTTTTTTTTTTAATTCAGATAGTATAGTTGGTATTTGTAGGTATAGAGATCAGTGACTCTTGTTGGCCATTGTTATGTGTCCTGCTAATTCGCTTACTAGCCAGCTACTTGAAGAGTAAGAACTAAAGCCTGTAGAGATTAAAAAGTGAGTTTTAATATTTCCATTTCTAACTATATATTATTTTAGACATCTTGAAAGCTTCTTAGTACCAGATGTCTGAAAATCCTAGACGGGACAAGAGGAGCAGTATTATAAATGCATGGCTGATTGTCCAAGATAGCACAGAAGTCCCTCTGGGGCTGGGAACCGAGCCTAGCTGGAGTAGGTGGTGTAGCTCAAGCCTTGCAGCTGCCAGTTTATGCACACCAGCAACACCGTGTAGCTCAGAGGTTTCATTTTCATAGCTGTGTCCTAGGGCAACAGGGGACCAAGCTTTGGACCTGGGAAGAGTGGGAAAGTTGAAGCAGACAGCATTGTATAGAGCCAGGAATCACAGAGATTAAACTCCTGGAGAAGAAGAAAATAAGAAGCAAATATCAAATTTATAAAGACAGAGTACATGCGAAGAAACATGCTTTTCTCATTATTGGCTGTTGCTAGGAAACAAAAGAGTCACCTCTAAGAATTCTTGACCACAGGCTGGTCTTAATGAAGATTGGAGACCCCATCTTCAAGTATGGAAAATGCAATCAAGAATTTAAATTAAAATGGATCCATGTTGGTAACACGTCCAAGTTCCCATGAGCCAATGTATACTGCAATCTGGAACAATATACTCTTGCCTCAAGACACAAAGAACTCTTGGAGATAAAGTTCCTGGGAACATGAGTTCACATAAAAAATTAATAATAACAACAAAATAAATATATAAGGGAGGAAGCTACCATGAGCATTAATTGTCAGAAACAAGAAAAATAAAAAAAGTGGAAGCAGACTTTTTAAGTTCCTGAAATCGGAGTAATCAGATACAGAATGTACAGAAATGCATTGAATACATTTTAAAATAAAAGGATGAAAATGAGTAAGGAAGAGAGGCTCTCAAAAAAGATCTAATGGGTCTGGCTAAAAAAAAAATCAAAAAAATCTATTAACAAATTAATAATAATTGAAATTAAATATGCCACGGAAGTCTTCATTAATAGTGCAGTACTCCTCTTGAGATTGGTCATAATACTTTATGGCCATATATGAAGGTGCTGGAGAACAACAAAAGATAGACATTCAAGCCTTGAAGAGGGGACACCATGCTAGGTGAGAGCCACATTAAAACAGCTGTTCACTTGGGGCACTCCTGGGTGTATAGGGCGGGTGGTAATGAAAGTTTCTAGATCACATCACACCTGCTTGTGCGATAGTGAAGGTTTTCCACTGAATTATGAATATCTCATCATACGTTCTATTTAACACTGTGTCAGAGTCCCTAGCAAAAGAAGAAAAGGAACAAAAGGACAAAGATTAAAAAGGAAGAAGTGACCTTCTCTATGTGTAGACAATATACATTTTTAATGTAGAAAACGCTAAAGAAAATCTACCAAAGAAGTACTAAAATGAATAAGTGAATTAATCACACTTACAGGTATAAAATTAATAGACAAAATTTCCTGTTTTCATGTACTAGCAACAAAAACGTATGAATCTGAAGTAAAATAGCATTTATAGTCCCATCAAACATTATAGAATATATTATTAAGGAAATATAATAGTTATAGATGCATTATAAAATGAATGTACACAAATATACAATATTCCACATTGAAAACCACAAAAATATCACTGATAAAAATGTAGTTAAGGGCTAGGGATGTAGCTCAGTGGTTCCACCACCTGACTCCCAAGTGTAAGGTCCTGAGTTCAATCCCTGGTACCAAAAAAGACTCACAGTTAAATGGCAACATTTACTATGGTAATGGATGGCATAACTCAGTATTTGATAAGATATCCTTTTTACAAATTGATCTATACAGATTCAGTATCATTTCAGTCAAAATCTGAGTATCTAGTTTTTAGAAATGGAAAGTTTCTTTCCTAAAATTTACATGGTAATACAGAATGTTTAGAAGAGTCAATAACCACTTTGTAAAAAGAAGACCAAAATGGAGGAATTTATATTAACTGAAATCAAGACTTAATATAAGCTGGGCGTGGTGGTGCATGCCTGTAATCCCAGCACTCGGGAGGCTGAGGCAGGAGGATCACTGTGAGTTTCGGACCAGCCTGGGCTATTTAGCGAGTTCCAGGTCAGTCTTAACTACATAGTGAGACCCTGTCTCAAAACAAAACAAAACAAAACAAAAAACGAAAACAACAAAACAAAAAAAAAAAAGACAATATAAAGTAATCAGAGCATGTGATGGTGTAAGAGGAGACAAATAACTTGGTCTGGTAGAATAAAGTCCAGAAATAGACAGGTACAATTAGGAAAGAGGAAAAGTTAGTCTTCTGAAAAGATGTAGCTAAAAAAACTGGATATTCATATCAAAAAAATCTTGATTCCCACCTTGTATTATATATAAAAATTAATTCAAGAAGGATCATAGATCCACAACTCATTTAGATATAAATATAATATTTTTACAACCTGTGGTAGAGATTTCCTAGAATATGAATAGTATTAATCTTAAAAGAAAAAAATAACTTCAGCTTCATCAAAATTAAAACTTTTTAGCTGGATAGTGTGCATGTCTATAATCCCATCTGCTCGGAGACAGAGAGGAGAATTGCAAATTCAAGGCCAGATCGAGTAACTCATGGAGACATTTTTTTCAGAAATCTATCAGTCAGTCAATCATCAACCAACCGGTTAATAGGACTGGCAATGTAGCTAGGGGGTAGAGAGCTTGCGCAAGGCAGTGGGTTTAATCCTCAGTGCCAAAAAGAGAAAAACAAACCTTTCTGATCATCAAAATATACTTCTAAGGAAATGAATAATCATGCCGTAACTGAGAGAAAATATTTACAATTTATATTCATATGACAAAGGACTTGTATCCAGAACACAAAGAGCTTCTACAGCTTAATAATAAAAAGAAACAAAATATTTTCTTAAAAAGTTAAAAATGAGAACACTCACCTCAAGAAAGAAAATATAGCAATGATCATTTAGGTGTATTACTAGTCATCAATGAAATGCAAACTGAAACCACAAGGAAATATAATTGCACACTCACTAGAATTACTACAGTTAAAAAGACTGGCAGTAACAGGCGTTGTAAGGATGTTACTCTACATCTGTGCTGGAAAAAGAAGTTGTAAGCTAATTTGAAGAATAGAGTCATGGAGTCAACCATACACTATGTGCTGAAATTGCACTTCTTGGAATCCACAAAAACTGAAATCACATCTTCAACATTATCAAGCATGAATGTTCGCAACAAGTTTATTCCCAGAAGTCACTGAACCGAAAAGAGTACACATCCCATCACCAGCTGCGTCCATTACCATAGGCTGGAACCTCCAGCAACAGCATGCCGCTCGGTGGTAAAGAAGATGGATTACTGCAGGCACCTGCAGTGAATTTTTAAAATACACTGAACCAAAGAAGCTGCACATAAAAAAGCACCTTCTGCATGACTGCATTGCTCAAAGTTCTAGAATAAATTGTACAAATCGATGTAAAGTCTGTCCCTGGGAGAGGCATTTGACGGGAAAGACACAAGATAACAGGGATGCCTGCATCTTGACTGTATGCTAGTTGTAGATGTGTGAGTTAATCTGCATCAGAAATCGCTGAATTGTACACCAAACGTCTCCATTTTATAACCTATAAATTACATGTCAATTTGAAAAGTGTAATTGGAAGGTTAAATAACAAGCAGTTAAAACAAAGAAATCAAGGAAGAAGAAAATTTAAGTGATTTATATAAAATATTAATCACCATAAACATACATACCCATGTTTGTAGTACCATAGAGACATAAAAAGATGAAAACTAAGAAAGAGAAGTGAAGGTATATGGAAAATAGAGTGAAAAGTTCATTTAAAAAGTTTTTAATTGGAGTTTTAGACAAAAATAATATAAAGAATGAGAAGAAAGCAATACTTTAAGAAATAATGACTAGCAGGTTCTGCCTAATGACTAGTGGTTCTGCCACCTGCTTTGTAAGCAGGTCCCCCCCCAAGAGAGAGAGAGAGAGAGAGAGAGAGAGAGAGAGAGAGAAATAATGACTAAACTGTGTGTAATTGCGCATGCTTGTAATCCCAGCACTCTCGAAGGCTGAGGCAGGAGGAGTGCAAATTCAATCCCAGCCTGGACAGTTTAACTACTAAGGAGACTGACTACAGCAAACCAAAATAATGACAGGATTTTTCACAAATGATGAAAACACCAATCACCTTGTAAAAGAAACTCAATAAATCCAAAATTATATTTGTTGGAGCTCCTATTTCTGCAAAAGCCACTCCAAAATTTAATGATTTTTAAATCTGATCTTTTTTTATGAGAAAAGAAAACAAAGTTTCACAACAAAATAGAAAATAACAATGGTTACTATACAGTGTATCATGATTTTAAAAGAATGGCCAAACCATTGCTCAGAGTACAAGTCACAGCTAAAAAAAATTCTCTCTTACAAGAACAAACAAATAAAAGGACAAAACTTTCTTTTCAATGAACAAAAGGAACTGGTAGTATAAATAAAACATTTGCTTGAAATATTTTTGAAACAACATGTTAGATAATTTGGGGAGTTATTTTATCCTTTCTCTACTTCCTACTTAGTGTCTGTGTGTGTGTGTGTGTGTTTGGAGAGATGTGAGAGAGAGAGAGAGAGAGAGAGAGAGAGAGATTTCATGTAAGACAAACTGTGATATTTATAGCAGCACGATTTATGTATAATAGATTTTGGAAACAGTGTAGATGTCTCAACAGATGAATGGATAAAGAAATTGTATTTCTACACAATGGCATAGTTCTCTGACATAACAAAAGATAAACTTAAAGCATTCATAGGCAGAAGTCTGATCTTTTGTTATCTTACAGTTTCTGAGAGAGGAATTTAAAAATGGTCCACCTAAGTGAATCTGCTCAAGGTCAGTCATGAAGATGTTGGTGAGCTGCTGTAACCTGGAGGCTGGCAGATCCAGGAGTTCTGGAGAGCCAGGTTGAATATGACCCGCTCATGTGGCAGACAGGTTGAGGCCAGCTGTCGGCTGGAAGCCTCAGTTCTTTTCCACGTGGCCTCTTCACTGGCCTGTTGGAAGGTCTTTGTGACATGGCAGCTGGCTTCTATCAGAGTGAGTCACCCAAGAGTTGGAGGGAAAGCTGCTGCCCGAGTCAGAGAACAGCACTTCCCTTGTCTTTGTGAGACTGGGCAGCGCTGATTTATAGTGGGAGTGGACACCTCTGAGCGCAGGGGAAGTGGATCACTGGGGCTTCTGGATGTGGTCTACTGTAGCAGGAAAAGTGCAGGTTAAAAACAATGGGAAAGCCTTGAAGGTTATCAGAGAGGAAGGACAGTTTGTGTAAACTGAAACGAATAAAATAACACAAACTAGGTTTTCAGTTGACAACTCAAGCAACAATAGAAGCCAGAGGTAGTAGAATATTATCTTACAGATTTCAAGAGGAAATAACTGAGAATTTTCATTAAAATATCAGAAGAGTGAAATGAAGACAAAAACAAAGATGAAAGGTATTTACTCCTATAGAGAAAAAAAAAAATATATATATATATTTAAATTTATATATTTATATAGGTCCTCATGGAGGACCTAGGAAGCCACAAAGAGGGGTGGCTATAGAGAAGTTGTAAATATATTAAGCCATTTTAACAGTGTGGTATAAAGCAATAATCATTGTAACCCATCATATTAAAGGAAGAATATGCTAAATAACCAAACACCTGCAGCATGTAAATTGAGTGTAGGAGGAACTGAAATCAAAAGAGAAGGAGAAAGTGTCACTTTTAAGGAAGGCAGCAAAAAAGAAACAGGAAATGCAGAAAACAATCCCAAAGAAAGCACATATTAAGAAAATAGAAATAAATCAAACATATAAACATATATAACCATCCATATAAAATAATTGTCAGATTTATAAAATGAGAATCAGCTGTATGATATTCCTAAGTGGAAACCTAAAATAAGATGTAGAAAGGTTGAAACTGATGAAATAAAATATTTCTGGTATATATTAAACCACTTAAAATGCAGGTTTTATCATACTAAAATCAAGCAAGTATGCCTAGAGATAAAAAGAATTACTATATGATAATTAAAGGCTCATTTCACCAAGATGATACAAACTCCCGATCTTTCTTTGCTTAAAAAAATACTTGAAAAATAGACCATAGTAGTTGGCAGAATATGGAGCTATGAATAAGTATACCTATTAAATACACCTCTGTCAAATATTGATAGAACATTTAGACCAAAAGTCCAATGAAGCTTTATAAGATGTATACAACATAATTAATAAACATTCATAATAGGCAGATAATACACATAAACTAAAAGTGATTGTATACTGGGAGCATTAAGTAAGTTTCCTCACGGAGCAAAAACAGGCATTGAGCTATTGGCTGAAAGCCCAGCAGAGCTGCCTGGCTGAGGGCTCCCTTGGGGCTACAGCAGGAGGGCAGGTGGCCCTGGTGCAATACAACTGCACAGGAGGGTTGGCTTTTAGGCAATGCACACCAAGGGCATAGGTGTCTCTAAGGGGAAAGATTCCTTGTAAGAGTGCCTTGAAGTCATGCTACAAATTCGGAAAGGAGCATTTTTATCTTCCATTCCCTGCAATGAATCTGAGGGCTTAGGGTACAGTCAAGTTGGAAAAATAATTTCTTTTCTTGTTAGAGAAAAAGCAGAAAGTCGGGGATGAGGAGTGTAAATGAGAGAAAGGTCCACATTGTGGAAGTGCATCTTCAGAGACTCATAAATGCATACCTCTTCCTGATAGTACTGGCAATCATCTTGTATTGCGGGACGAGACCTCATTCTCTTCTTCCCCTGGCCATGATGAGGGTGCCAGCCTGATTCATTCCTCTGTGAATCGCAGCTGGGCTGAAGATGCCTTCTTTAGGAAACACCCTGGGTGCAAAATAAGGATTAAAGAGCTAGAGAGCCATGAATACTTTCACATCATCATTTTTCACCCACCCATCCCACCACTTCTTAAATCTTTCTCCACTTTCCAGGCAAGGGAGATGGAGGACACTGGTTCCGGATGCTTTTTCTGGTTATGATGAATAAATTAATAACAACATGAACATTTTTTAATACTTTTAGAGAAATATTTGAAGAGTATAAAGAAAAACCCACGTTGTTCTCAGCCAAGGCAGAGTATATGTAATAGCTAGCTGTTGTAGTCAGCAGGATTTGGCAAGGGAATACATTAAATACAGGACACGTGACTTATAAGGCTATTTTATGATAATTACCCAAAGAGTCAAACGCAAAGGAGTGCAATAGATTAACTGCACAATAGAAGCCTGAAGCATTCAACTGAGACTCCAACAGTTCCCCACAGAAGTCAAGCTAAAGGCTAGAATCTGAGGAAATGTCCTCTTCAAGTCCAGCCAGTGGCCTAGAACCCACAGCAATGTCTCATATTTGTCCACATTGAGTATCTGCACCTGGAAGGCCCAAAGGCCAGTGGTGGAAGCCAGAAAACCTATGCTCCCAAGATGAAGGATTTGTGCCACCAGTCTGAGGGGTCCACATCGGAGCCAGAAAGTGATGCTCACAGTAAAGATCAAAGCTCCCCTGGTGAAAACAGCAGCCATTCCCAGTGACACCGAGGTCCCGAGCTCCCCATCGGATGAGAAGAGCCTAATTTACATCAGGAAAACCACGTGCAGCAAGCTTCTCCTATAAGATCAACAGGCCCAGATCTTCCCCTCTAGTTCTTTTTATGGCTATTGGTAACAGTCTTCAGGTGGATCCTCCATGCCCAGACCATCCTGATTCAGTTCAGCTGGGGGATACAAGTTGACCATTAACTAACCCACTACACTAGCTGACTTGGGGTCACTCAGAAAACCCTAGTTGTAAGTCCCCAAATCTTGGTTGACACTCATCAGTAAACTCTGTGTAGCTGTAATGAACTAGTGTGAGGACTACACCTCAGCCAAAATCCAGTCTGCCTAATGCTTTTGTGAAGAATATGGCAATAGAACAGCTTAATTGAAAAAAATATATATATATAATGTAAGCCATACTAGACATTGATAGTGTTTCTGATTTTTATGATCTATCAGCTTCTTTCTGCTGATACTCCAATGGAAGTAACTATGCTAGGGTGTTTACTGCCTGTCCTAGCATATCGCTCAGCTTTTAAGAATGGGTAAAAGGCCAGCTAGGCAGGTGTCCCTCACTCTCAAATGGCAACTTACAGCTTTTAGTCACTGATCACAGCGTTTTTAAATTAGAAATCAGTAGCAACAAGAGCAACAACAGGAAGGAGTCACTAACAAAAAAACATAACATTCTTCTGGAATAGTGAAGATTCTACAAAATGACTCAAAGGTCAGTGAAGAATAATTCTAATGAGTTTCAAAAAACAGATGTGCAATAGAAAAATATACTTTGCATCAACTACATGTAACTAAAGTGAAAGCAAAGATAGTATTTATAGCTATAGAAGCTCCAATTAGGAAATAAGAATGGTTAAACATCCATGCACCAGGCAAATGTGCTGACACACCCCTGTAATCCCAGTACTCTGAGAGGATGAGGCAGGAAGATTGCAAATTTGAGCTCAATCTGGGCAATGTAGCAATACTCTATCTCAAAATAAAAAGAATAAAATAAATTGGAAATGTGAAGGACCTCGATAAAAAAAAAGAAAAGAAAAAGCCATTTATTCAACTTAACATCTGCAAAATAAATAGTAAAACCAAAGTAAGGAAAAGAAGAAACATAAAGAACATGAATTAATAAAAGATAAAATAAAAGTAGACACAGCCAAAGTTGGTTTTTTGACATGATTAAGACTAATATCAGAGCAAACACTGTTTGAATGAGAGGATTACAAATATATACTGTTAAGAATGAAAATAATTACAGTTCAGACAGTGATGTACAGGCATTAGGAAATACTTGGGCAACTTTTTACTATGTACAAAATCTTAGGTGATGTATGAATACCTAATTAAACGAATCAAAGAAGAAATCTGGTACCAGTGAGAAATTAATAACTTCAAGAGTCTGTAATGTTGATCTTATGCAAATTCTTTCCAAAAATAGTAAAGCAGACTCTCATTTTGTGAATCTAGTTAGTGTGAACTTAATTCTTTAAAGGAATCCCTAAGAAAGGCAAATTAATATCTGGTCCCACTCATGAATCTGTTAAGCATAAGCATAAGCAGAATGTTAGCAAACTGACTACTAAAGTGAGTAGATTCATAATAATGCATTGTGACCAGGTAGAATATATCCCAGGAGTGGAAAGAGAGCTTTACATGAAGAATTCCACCCAAGGAGCCTTCGGGTTGTTTTCCTGCTCCCTTGTGTAAGGAGCTTGGAAGTTGCCACTCCTTCCTAACAACAACTCTGAACAGAGTGAGAAACAGCAAAAATAACAGCTTTTCTTGGACTTGTAAGGGAGAGGTGAGAACATTGAGCAAAGTCCCTGAAAATTGGAGAAAAATCCTAAAATGTATGTAGATTAAGCAACATTTATAGATTAGACATGAGTCTATGAAGAAACACCATCAGAAACTTTAAAACATTTTGAACTAAGGAAAACCCAACTTCCAAAAATGTGTGGAATGCAGCCAAAACAGTGCTTGTAGAGAAATCTATAGCATTAAATGCATATATTAGAAAAGGAGAGTTAAATTCAATATAGCTTTGAATACATATTGTATTAAAAAGGATAAAGAACCTTGGGCCGGGGATTTAGCTCAGTGGCACCATGCCTGCCTCACAAGCACAAGGTCCTGAGTTCAATCCCCAGTACCAAAAAAAAAAGGAAAGAAAAGAAAAAAAAAAAAAGGATAAAGAACTAAATTCAGTCATGTATGGTTCTACCTTAGGAAACTAGAAAAAAAGAGAAAATTTATTTCAAAGTAAGCAGACAAGAATAAAAATTAGTGCAGAAAAAAAGCAGACAAAACAGGCAACAGATAGAGAAAATGAAATTTGATAACCTAGGTGAAATGGAGTAATTCCTTGAAAGACACATTGTGCTGAAAGTCACACAAAAGGAAATAAAACAACTTGAATCAATTTTTCCATCTATTTATGTTTTTTTTTCCAGTGTTGGGAATTGAGCTACATCATTAGCCCTATTTTTTATTAATTTTATTTTGAGACAGTGTCTTGCTAAGTTGTTCAGTAGTGCAAGTTGGGCTCAAACTTGCAGTCCTCCTACCTCAACCTCCCACAGTTCTGGGGTTATAAGCGTGCACCACTACATCCAGTTCCTAAATCATTACTAGCCCTCCCAAAGAGAAAGCATGTGGCTCAAATGGATCCACTGATGAATTTCTTCCAACATTTAAAGAAGAGCTTATACTAATTCTCTGCAATATCTCTTAGAAGACAAAGCAGAAAGAATATTGCTCTGCTCATTCTACAAGTTCAGCCTTGGCCTAATATCAAAAGTAGACAAAGACTTTACAGGAAAAGAAAACTACACAGCAAGATTTCTTGTAAACATAGATGCAAAAGGCCATGACAAAAGATTAGCAAATTAAATCCAATAAAATATAAAAATAATGATACACCAAAACCAAATAGGATTTATCCCAGATATGCCAGGTTGGCAATCTATCATATCAACAGGCTAAAAAAATTGTGTGATCATATCAGTAAATGTAGGAAATGCATTTGACAAAATTCAATATCTGCCTATGATAAAAAAAAAAAAACAAAAAACAACTTGGGGCCGGGGATTTAGCTCAGTGGTTCTGCTGCCTTCCTTGCAAGCACAAGGACCTGAGTTCGATCCCCTGTACCAAAAAAACCAAAAAACAAACAAACAAAAAAAAACAAAAAAAACAAAAAAAAAAAAACAATGAACTAAGAAAAGAAGGGAAACTCCCTCATCTTGGTAAAGAATATCTACCAAAACCCTGCAATGAACATATTTAATGGTAAGAAATGTAGCTGTTTCATTAAGACCAGGAACAAGGCAAGGATGTCCTTTCTTGCTATTCCTGCTGAAAATCATAGTTGGAAATCCCAGTTCAACAAGAAGAGAAAACAAAATATACATAGATTGGGAAGGAAAAATATGAAACTTCCTTTGTTCATAAATAAATAGTCATCCATGTAGAAAATTTGAAAAAATGACCATAAAAATCTTCTGGAACTAGTAAACAATTACAGTGGGGTTGCAAAATATAAGATTCATATACAAAAGTCAGTTGTTTTCCTATTCTTTCACAATGAATTGTAATTTGGAATTAAAAGCACCATGCTATTTACAGTGGCATCCCTCAAATTGAAATGCTTAGGTTTAAATATACCAAAAATATGTGCACTGTCCATATGAGGAAAATTACAAAAGTACATTGAAATAAATCAAAGATGATACTAAATAGAAAAATATTTCATATTCATGAATAAGAAGACTTAATTATTTTCAAGATGTCAGTTTTGGCTTAATCCGTAGATTCAATGTAATCCCAGTCAAAATCCCAGCAAGTTATTTGGTGGTTCTTGATAAATTCTTTCTAAAGTTTATACAGGGAGGCAAAGGCAGAAAAACTCACACAATATTGAAACAAAATTGAAGTGGTGCTGGCTGATATCAGCACATATGATAAAGCTACCACAGTGAGAACAGTGTGAAGCAACAAACACACAGATCCATGAGCAAATGGATTCCAGAAGCAGACTCACAGAAGTGGAATCGGCTGATCTTTCATAGAGGAACAAAGGCAGTAAGTGTATGTCTGCATGCAAAAAACAGAAAAAGAATATAGATACAGACCTCACAACCTTCACAAAATGAACTCAAAGTGAAACTCAGATATAAATGTAAGATTCAAATGAAACTCCTAGAAATTAACATGAAACTCCTAGAAAATAACACAGACGGTCATCTGTATGACCTTGAGTATGATAGTGACTTTTAAAGCATATCAAAGCCTATGATCTAAAAGAAATAATTCATAAGCTAAACTTCACTGAAATTAAAAACTTGCTCTGTGAAATAAAACGTTTAGCAAAGAAGGCAATAACAGCCTAGGAGATGTTTAAAGAAACATCTGATAAACGACTGCTATCAAAATGTATGAACAACAGGGCCAGGGATTTAGCTCAATGGTTCCACTACCTGCTTTGCAAGCGCAAGGTGCTGAGTTCGATCCCTGGTACCAAAAAAACCCAAACATTATGAACAACGCAATACTAAATAGCAGGAAAATGAGCAGCTTGATTAAATACCAGGCAAAGATCTGACAGAGCATCTCACCACAGAAGATAATTAAATGGCAAATAAATACATGAAAAGATGTACAAGATCATAAATCACTAGAGGTTGAAAAATTAAACAACAAAATTCTACCACACGTCTTAGAGTGGCTAAAACACAGAACTCTGACAACAGTAGATGCTGGTGAGAGGGTGGGGGCAACAGGAGCTCTCACTCATCTCTAGTGAGAATGCAAATGGCACAACTACTTTGGAGGACGGTTTGCATTGCTTAACCAGACTTAACATACACTTTCCGTATGGTCCAGCAATCATATGCCTTGTATTTACCCAAAGGAGTTCAAAACTTATGTAAGCTAAATAAACTTTTCCTCCTTTAATTTTGGGTGTTGCATATTTTGTCTCAGCAAGGAGAAAAGTAAATAAGACAGAGCACTGAGATGGAGGGGAGTCTTCATCTTCATCCTCGAATCACTGTTAGAGGAGACCCACTTGCTGCTCAGGAAAACCATTGTGTGGAAGAAATAAACTGATGTAGAGTTTAAGCTTTTATACCTTCTTTGATATATCTGTGGCAGTATCTGGCATTGTGTATCCTAACTCAAAAGACGCACTACATTTAAACACAAGAAGACTCAACGTCCTAAAGATAACAGTATCCTGCAAGTTGATCTACAGATTTGATACACTCCCAAGAGAAATTCGACCAAAACTTTTCATGAAGCTTGGCAAACTGATGGTGAAATTCATGTAGACTACCAAAGGACCCAGAATAGCCAAGGTATTTCTGATGACAAATAAGGAGAACACAGTGAAAGGAAATTGCTCTCTCTCGGCTGTGGCAGCTGATTGTAATGCTATAGCTCAAACTCATTACTAACAGAGGAAATAAAGGTTAAAACTACAGTGCTTTCATATTCACAGATGGCAAAAGGTAAAAAAGCTTCCATTACTAAATGATGGCAGGATATAGAACAATCACAACTCCTATACACTGCTAGTGAAGGGGGAGGTAATATGGAAGACTCCCTCTGGAAAGGAAGTTGGCAATTATTATCTAGTAAAGTTGAACATACCACATCTCTGAGTCAGTGTTTCTGCTGTCTTATATATATGTCCATTAGATACCATGGAAAACCATATTAATGGAGGCATTTTTGTAATGCCACAAATTGGAAATAACACAAATGTCTATCAGCCACAGAATGGATTAAAAAAAATCATGGTGTGCTAAATAAATGATGCGGTGCATCTGTGAGAATTAATGGACGTCAGTGTGGACTAAATTCACTTGAATGAAAAACAAAGACAATTTCTCAAAACTGTGTCATGGCCATCTATCTAAAGTTTTAAAAGAAAAGCTGTATCATATTTAGGAATATCAGATATGTGGTAAAATTATAAATGAACGTGGGCAAATGATAAATACAGATGTCAGGGCATCTTGGAATGGGCAAGAGACCATCTGGGAGGAGCAGAGAGCTTCTGTGTAAGCTCTAGGTTGATTCTCTTATTGTTATTTAACCTCCAGGGAGGTTTTAATTCTCATGGTATAATTCTTACAACTTGTACATTTGTCCCTTTTTTATATGTATCAAGTATTCCCAAATTAAAAAGTAAAAATAATCATCAATTTCAAACATTCTGTTGGAAGGCCATGATCAGCTGTATTTAAAACGTGACAGGCAAACTTACATGCTTAATCCATGCTGCTGCTTCTTCCTTGAATATCAGTGAGTTCCTTATTACTTACCCATAGTTAGATGGGTCCGTGGAAGCTTGGATACAGATACCCGTGGCCCTCCTGGACCTCACTATATTTTATTGAAACTGATAGTAATAGCTATCTCTTCATTTTTTTTTACCCAGCACAAATTGAACTTTTGCTGTGTTACAAATACAAAGCGAATAGATATACCGTCTTGTCTCAGGGATCTAGATTTGTTCAGCAGTATCATCATGACTCTACGCAGTGTTAGAGAACCTCATAAGAGAGAATCTGTTCTTAATTCAAGGAAGGTTTCAGGGAAGTGGTGGCATCAGGTGAGCTTCAAAGGATAGTTCCAGTTTACCACATGCAGTCAGATCTTCCCTTCATCTCACTCACCCTCTGCTAAATATTTACGAGTTTTCCAGTTGAATCACTACATTCCCCAAAGAATGGGCCATTGTCATTGACCCATACCTTAGCTCTCCACTCTTACCTCCAGTTCATGGAAGCCACCCCTCATTGCCTGTGTAGAGGATGAACATTAGTATCGTTAAATCAATTTGGGTTGTTGGCAGACAGAATAAACAGATTCCACTCTACCCTTGTCTAGACGTGGGTAAAGAGAGAGCCCTAAAAATGCCACATAAATGTTTTTTGGAATGTTATGTCCACATGAATCACCTGGCTTAATTAGACTGGTCATTTTGTGTCCATTTTTATGTTACTGGGAGAACCAATATCTGACAAATTTACTGACCCAGAGAGAAACTTCTGGGAAAAAGCTCATGCTTCCTGGACACCCATTCCAGCAAGCCACAATGCTGATGTTTCTGTTTCAAAATGATGTAATCATGACTGCAGATTTTGAAATATCTGAAAATCTTCTCATTTATTATAATTTTTGGAGACAATGTTTTTAACCTTTTAGCTTAATATGTCATGTTTAATCGTGGGGATTTAATAGAGACAAAGGACACCTTTTGTACAGCTTTTCTAGAAGTCTTTGAAAGCTTAGTAGTATTTGAGGAAAAGGGGGTTAGGGGTGCAGGCTGTCTTTTTGTTGTTTCCTAGAAAGATCCCTTTAAGTCATAAATCAACCTCTTCATCACTTCCCTTTCTCTTAATCCTACAATGACTTCTTACAAGAAAACTCCAAAGATTTTTCTGTGGCTTTCAAATCTGCTCCAGAATCTGCCCTTGTTACCCCTCCCTCTTGCTCACATTCTGTTCCACCGCACCGGCCTGCTTGCCAGGCTTTGAACTTACCATGCATGTTCCCACCTCAGGGCCTTTGGACCAGCTCGATCTGCTGGTAGTATCCCCGTTCCTCAGATATTTTGAGCCCTCTCTTATTTCTCTCAAATTTCCACTCAGTTCTGCTCAAGCACTGCTTCCATGGAGTGGTTTTATTCCGGCAACATTATTTCAAGCGCGATTCTTCTTTCCCTGTGCTCTTCCATGAGCCTGCTCTGTTTCCTCATCCCATACGCCATCATCTGACATTTCATCATTGTGAAACTGCCTTTCTGTGCTTGCTGTCTTTCTCTGATCTGCATGTCAGTTTCCTCTAACCAAATGGATTAGACTAAAAGTGATATAATCAAAACACATTAAGGAGAGTGATATATTTTCATAAATCTTAAAATAGTATTATAATTATTACCATCTCTTTGGGCCAACGAACGACTATTACAAGAGCAAAACCAGCAACTCAAATTAGAATGCTACCACTTTTAGAGCTAGGAAAACTCTTCAGAAGTGGCTAATGGACTTGTGGTATTCTTAAAAGGAACTTCAAATGCATTTTAAAAATCAGTTGAGAAGCTGTTATGAACTAACATAATATTGTATATAGTTGTGTGTACCGTTGCAGTTATAAGCATTACCTCCTTGTCTCTTAAATTTCAATCTTTATAAAATTAGCTAGGATTTTCATATTGGTTCTCCCTCTGAAGAACAAATAGATGTGCTAATCTCAGCTGGCTACAGATTTTAATTTTATAATATTCCCAGACCTCTCTTAGAAATAATCTTTGTGAAACATTTTGTATGGATGAAAGAAAACAGTAAAAGCCTACTTCAAATTTTAGATTCTCGTTTTCCAATAAGGAGATTCTTGCCATTGTGTGATAAGTGCTAGAAGTATCAGTAAAATAGTAAATTTCCAAGAGGTTTATTTAGAGTTAATAAATAGGGGCTGAATTTTAGAGTTCACTGAGTATTTTTTAGGTGGGGGCTTGATATGCTAACTTTGTCTATTTAATTTTTTAGCCAAGATAACTGCCATATTACTGAGATTGTCCATGTATAATGAAGATACTAAAACGTGCATGTTGAAGCCCAGTGACTATTTGTGTGCCTGCTTATTTGAGGGAAGTGGAAGATGGTTTTATTAAAATAATTCCTGTGTATCTTAGAGATGAAAAGTCTGTGCCGAGTACCCCTGTGCAAGGAGCCCAGGTGTTTGTTTTGCAGGGCGGGATTTCAGCCATACACTGCCTCAATTCAGTGAGGGGGCTCCTGCAGCCCAGCCTTCTTCCCTGTCCTCTGGCCACAGTTCATTGGGTGCAGGCTCAGGGCATTGAAGGGCTGTGAAAAGACAGAGCAACGGAGGCTGATTCTTTAACCTGGAGAGTTCCAAATCCCTGGTCAGGAATGGCACTGAGGTCACCACCCAATAGCATCCTCCCAACCCTTTCTAATGTTCTGGGGGAAAAAAAAATGT